TGACTTAGAAATCACATATGGATTCTTAGAAGATCTACAATTATGACTTTCAGAATAACATAATGGCTTATCTTTATGATACAAAGTGTATATTGAAAGTGATTGAGAATATCTAAAAGGTATTGTTTTTAAAACAATTTGAAATTTTACTCCTGCCACTTCTTACATAAATTTGCTACAATAGTCAATAATAATGTTTTAAAATCTTACCACGTATTTATCATGGTACTGAAAGTAGAGGAGTATCATCAGTGTTGAATCAGTGAGTTTAGTAAGCAAAGGTGATACTCAATCTAGTGAATGTTGGAATAAGGGTCAATTCCAAATTAGTGGCAGATAAAGCAAGGCTAGTGTTCAATCTTCACTTTCATCTGCAGTATGCTAATTCCTATTTTCTTAATTCATGATTTGTGGGAAGAACATGAGAACACTGCTTGTGGGAAATCATGGTTAGAAACCTTCCCGCATTTCCCCAAGAACTAGCAAATACCTAGTGCAAATCTGTTTCTTTCTTGGAACATCATAGTTTTCAAGGCACATGAAAGTAGATGACAACATATTTTTTTGTACCTGAAAATGGTATTCACTTCTCTGATCCTTGTACCAATTTTGCAATAGGAAAAGGGAACGTTGAACTGTATTAACTTGAGAGTGAAGTTTACACTAAGAGAACACTGGCAAAAGAAAAACTGAACATTTGACTTTCAGGCTACAGTAGCCTTTGAGTGAGGGACTGGCGGTCACACAGGAAGGGACACAGCAGAATTGGGACCTGCTGATGGATTTTTCATTGACTACTCGCAAGCAGTTATTTATGGGGTGATGTTTCAAACTGTGATATATTTCGTTTGTTAGTTTATTTAAAATAAATATACATTACTTATTAGTTTAAATATTTTGGATCATATATTTGTTGTCAAGGTGCCTATGCTTTCAACCCTGGGAATGCAGAAGAAGGAACTGTTACGGTTGCCAAAATGCCAGAACCAGAGGATGCATGTGTAGGGCTTAGTCTTATTTACAGACCTGTGCAGCCTCCTTCTTGGAAGTTGAAATAGCCATGGGCACAGCGGTCACATTTCTTTCCTGTCACTCCAGGCTGGCACCAACACTGACCACTCTCTTCACAGTCGAATGATTTAGACCCAAAGGAATTGCAATTGCAGGGAACACACCCCCTTCCTGATTGTAGGCCAAAGGTTTCAGGCTGGCATAGGAAAGGAAAGAGAAAAATTAAATTTAAATCAATTAGTTCGTTATGAAACAAGATGCACAATATCAAGAGATGAGACAGGAAAGAGGAATCTATGGGTTGTCGAGAGGTTCTTCACTGATGTTATGACAACGAGGTTACAGTTTAATCTAATGGATCCTTTTCTACAAAATCCAAAAAGAAGAGTACGATTACTTTAAAATTTTATCAAAGTTAACAGCAGAATTAGGGTACTATCCTTTATGTCGGCTATATTTTCAGCAGTTTTTCCCTATACTTTCCAAGATTTTAACAGCAATGTGGAACTAAGCTATGGGGTGTTACTTATATTTTAATTGAAAAATTTACTTGCTTCATTCCTAATAATCTGAATTGATTAATTTTAGACCTTATGAACTCCTCTACTTGTTAAAAATGTTTCTGATATTATTGACCAGAAGCCTACAGTTAAAATAAATGTTTTTCTTCTAATATTTGATCTAATTTTTGTCATCTCCCCATAAATCTAATTATCATTCTAGAGATCACTTTATAAATATAACTTACAGATTTATGCCTATGCTGACAAAATAATTGGTTTACAAACATCTAGTTTCTTGGGTTTCATTTTAACAACTGAAATTGATCTGAGAGAACACACATCAAAGCACCAGATTAGGTAGATGAAAGGAAACCTTTATTCTCTGATGAGTTATTCCTAGGCACATCTCTTATCTATGCATAACAAATAACTTTCTATGATCGGTTTTCATTACTAGCTTTGGCTTGAAATACATGTTATCTGACCTAGAGTGACTATGTTAGAAAGTGTGGATGGATTAAAAATTACCTCTACTAGAAAAGTGAAAAATGCACATCCTACTTAAAGTACAACAGGGTTGTATTTTAAAATATGAAGTGTGTCACATCATTATGATATTTTAATCTGAAAAATTAGTCTTTTAGTTCTTTGTAAAAAATAATTCCTATTTTGGATTATTAGACTTAATAGTTACTTCCTGGTAAGAATAAATCTTGCTATTTAATGGGAGCCACCCAAAGAGAAACAAATAAGGCTCATTACATATTTTTGCCATTATTGTTAACAGTATGAAAAACAGTTCTAGAAAACAAAATCACACTGAAAATTACTCTCTTAAAATTACTATAGCTAAGAACAGTTTTGGTTTTTAAATATAAAATGGGTTGATTGAGTTTAACAATCATTTAATCTTTGTATTTACTGCTGGCTTTATTTTTATTTCCAGTTCAAATTCAGATGTCGTCATATGATTAAAGAAGAAAGTGTGTTTGTGGAATCACTACATTGCACACCTGAAACTAATATAGCACCATATGTTAACTCTACTGGTACTGAAACAGAATTTAAAAAATAAATAAAGAAAGAAGAAAGTATCAGTTCTACCAAATGACTTAACACACAATTTTGAAATTAAATTTCATTATATAAGGAATGATTAAGACATATAAGATTTTTATTCATAAAAAGCAACTAGCTGTAAAATTCTGGATACCTGACCTAGAGAAATAATGAGAAATTGGGAAAATGGTTAAAGTATGAGCATGCCTATTACAGTATTATTTATGAGAGTAACTTCCCAATGTTAGAGAGAAAGTTGAATAAATTAAATTATGATACATTCATGCTATGAAATAATACGCCATCATTAAAGTCCTGTTTTGAAGCAGTTTTAATGATAGGAATATGCTTAGGACATAGCATTATGCAAAATTTCAAAAAGCAGAATACAAAATTATATACACACTATTATTCCAATTATATACCTATAATGACACACACACATCACTCAGGCACACACAAACAGAAACATACATAGAAAAAAGACTAGAACATACTACATTAAAATGGTTTTTAAAAATCCGAATCATAAATATATTTGTATTTCTTATGCAAAGTATTTTGCATTTATTTCCTAAATTTTCTTGACTTAGACATCTGAATTGTAGAGAAAATACTTTTTCATCTTTATTTCCTAAATTTTTCTTCGCTTGGCATATCTATATATCTTTAATGGATATATCTATATAGTGTTAAATGAACTTCCAAATCATAGTTATTATGAAAATTCCAAAGTTCGTTATGTAAAACATATGTAAGAAGAAATATCTTTACCATACTTTTCAAATACTTAAATAATGTAATTTTAAAGAGTTAAATTATACCAAAACAAATAGAAACAAATTTCAGCAACAAAATTTTAATAAATTTGATGTACAAAAATTTAATTCAGAAACTAGGGAAAATCTCTGTAGTAAACAAATTCAAAAGTAGACATTCCTAGTCAGTAATCGAGATTAACGAGGTAAAATGAACATGGGAGACAGTCCCTATCCAGTGTCAGTGAGATGTTTGATGATCTCCCAGAAATTATTTCCACTTGGGGTAATAACGACAATGAGCACTTACATATGGTGCTTGCTGGGTGTCAAGTACTGTTCTAAAGCCCTTTGCAAACATGGATTCATTTAAACCTCCAGACAATCCTGGGAGATAGTTATTACCATCACCTCTTTACAGAGTGAGGAAACTGAGGCACAGAAAGTGCAAGTTATTTGCCTAAGGTCACCAGTTAGCCAACCGCAGAGTCAGGATTCCACGTCAGCCAGCCTGGCTTCAGAGTCTGTGCTCTTTACTCTCACACATACTGTCTCAGAACAAAAATGGTCTCAGGACAAAACACCACCCGGTACAAAGTCCTATAGGACATGTAGGAAAAGGGTGTGAATAAGGGTTGAATTTTGCTAAATTTCTATTTTGGAGACATTTTGATCAATTCCTGTCCCTTTCTTTTACTTTAAATGTATGCATTTGTTTTGTTTTTTTTATTTGTTTTTGAAAAACAATCTTTTTAAAAGATTTCTTCCTCTAATAGCAACAATAATAACAACAGCAATAATACCTAACATTTACTAAGAACTCTCCAGATGCGTGCCTTATGCACTGTTCCCACGACAATCAGGAAACAGCCATAGAGGTGCCTAGACAGATCTCCCTACAAAAGAATCTGCAGCGGGACTGTGACGGGTTGACATCCTCCGGTTTTTACTCTTGTGGATTCCCTGGAGGAGCTCGCACCAGGTCAATGACTGATAACAATAAAGTATTAGAGCCTTCCTGCCCAATCCAGGATGACTCTAACAGGCAAATGGTGCTTGGGCACTCCCCCTTGGCCTGGCACACATTTGACGTTTTGGCAGAAGGCAAAGAATGAGGCTTTTCTACCCAACCTTTCCTTCCCTTTTTCCTTTCATTTCAGTCTGGCCTGCACTGCAGCAGAAGGCTCCCTGCGTATTATACTCTCTCCTCCTTCATCTTTCATAGGCATTTCCCTATCTGTAGTGGGTCCCACTACAGATGAAGCAGATGAATTACAGAAAGATTGAAGGAACTGTCTTACGGCTAGCAAGTGGCGAGACTGGGATTTGACCTGAGGCATTCTGATATCAGAACTAGTTTTCTTAAAATGCCAATAAAGAGCCTAGAAATAATGCATGTTTTTTTTTTTTTTTCTTTTCTACTCCTTTGCTTTTTACTTTACTCTCACCTTCTTCTATCTGTTACCTGCCCCTCCCCTCCCCCACCCTGGAGGCTGTGATTCTATCTTGGCAAGTCTAATCTCCTGTCATTCTGCAACAGGGTCCTGGACCTAGTCTTCCTCCTTCCTCCTTCTTTCCCTCCCCTTCCTCCCTTTCTCTCTTCCTTTTGGTATTTGCTTTCTTTTGCCTTGTAAGATGGGGGGCTAAACTTTTGTAGTACAAAACATGCTTCCTTACTTTGTGTACGTGGTACATTTGTGGGATGTGAAAATGTGTGACTTGTGGTAACTATGGGCAAACTTACAACGTGGTAAAGTCCCAAAGCCATCAATTATGATAAATGTTAGCAGAATGTCAGACCAATGGGCTACATTTTCTTGGGCAAGTCACTTTCTCTGCTAGATCTCCCTTCATTTGTTCATTCGTAGAAGTGAATTTGCTCCAAATGATGCCTGAAATTCCTTCCACTTCTAAGATCATAGGTTTCTACAAATAAACTTTCATTTCTCCAGATCCACGGTTAGTTGAAACTTTTAGGAACCTATGAACTTGAATATACTTTTAAAACTACACAGATAGGGCTACTTTCAAAAGGCAAGGCTTGAAGCGGGAATTGCCTAGTGTTGGCACCCTGGGCAACCCTTACGGGAACAAGGCCATCGGGGAAGGTCAGCAGCAGCACACACAACACGACATGCGGAGGCATGAGCCATGCAGCGCCTCTGGGATTACCGGAGCTGGGGCCCGATAGGCTCCCCGAGGGCAGCCGCCGGAGCTGCTGACAGCCCACCTCGGAGGAGGCCCTGGCCCCCGCTGCGCTCTCTGTGACTTCTCCTCCTGCCGCTGCACCTGCCTGCTGAGACGGCACTGTCGCCCTACGAAGCCAGATTTACACGCACATCTTCCTGTCACATCACACCACGGTGTCACAGAGCCAACGGGATCGCAGTCACACAGCACACAGATTTGCTTCTCTGGATCCCACCACATACCGGGCTTTAAAAGCCAACAGAAAAACAAAACAAAGGAACAAAAGAGCATACGCCATTATTCACAAGATCGACGCAGATGAGACTTTCAAACTTACTACAGAGGGGCCAGTTTGCCCTCTGAGAAATGCTTGTTCTGTTTAATAGTCTTTATCACCAAACATACATATTTAGAAGAAAGAGGTAGCGCGGATCCGTCACTCTCGCGGAGGGAAAGAAGGTGTTTGCCATCCTGAAGGCAGGGCAATATGCTCAGGAACAGAGAGCAACGTATTTTGATATTTTTGTTTCCCTTTTAGAAAAATGATGTAACTAAAAATATGTGGATTAGCTTCTCTACTGAAAACTTCAGTTGAGTGCTCCCTGGAACTCACTTGTAAATGATAGAACTAGAAAAAAGTGTTTGCTAAAAACAAAGGATGTGATGCATTTCATTCTGCCAACATAAGAGCAAAGAGTATTTTACTCACTATAGACTGGGATTAAATTGATATGCTATTTGTTTTAAAAATGTCCGAGTTACAGTAAATATGACACAAATTCACTGCCAAGGAAAAATAGGTTGAAGGTCAAAAGCTAGTGTATAGCAAATTTTTTTCTATTTTGGAAAAAATATTTCAATGATCACAGTGATGGCACATATAGAATTGGATAATCCTGGACTCCTCTTTCAATATATTTAATACGTACATTGTTGAAAGCTAATGAACATTTTCGAGGAGGAAGTGATTCTTCATCAGCTCCTACTCCTTACCTTACACTCATCACACCGCCGTCCCTGCACGTTAGGTTTGCACTCGCACTGTCCCGTCCTGGCATGGCAACTCTCAGAGAAGGAGCTGTTGACATTACAGTGACAAGCTGCAAAAAGAAGAGCGATCTGTGGTTGGGAAAACACTTGCTGTAGTATTAATAGGCTTGTTAAATAATAATATCCCCCATATGGTAACATTGGAACTAAGTTTTAGAACAGAATGTTTTCTGATTTGCTAGGTGTTCTGTTAGGCATTATAGCATTCAATTCTTATAATGACTCTACAATCTGTAGAGATGATTCATGTAAAGCTGTATCACAGTGCCTGGCACATAATATGTTGTTAAAACATTATTGTAATCATTATTATTCCAATTTTGAGAATGAATTATAAATGTTATATATTATCTAATATATAAATATTGTGTGTGTATATATTTATATACACACATACATGAACACACACATACACATACTCACCTTTAAGATTAGAAAAGTATGTAAGGCAGAAGAACTAAGTAGACATTTTTCTGAAGAGGACATTAAAATGGCCAACAGGCACATGAAAAGATGTTCAACATCACTAACCACCAAAGAAATGCAAATCAAAACCACAATGATATATCACCTGATACCTATTAGAATGGCTAGTATTAAGAAGACACAAAACAACAGATGCTGGCAAGGATGTGGTGAAAAAGGTACTCTTATACAATGTTGGTGGGAATGTAAATTGGTCCAACCACTTGGGAAAACAGGGTGGAGTTTCCTTAAACAATCAAAAATAGAACTACCATACAATCCAGCAATTCTACTACTGGGTGTATACTTAAAGGAAACGAAAACAGCATTTCAAAGAGATATATACACTCTTATGTTTACTGCAGCATTATTTACAATAGTCAAGATCTGGAAATAACATCCATCAAAGACGAAAGGATAAAAAAAATAGCTGTGGCATATATACACCATGGAGTATTATTCAGCCATGACAAAGGAGAATATCCTGCCCTTTGCAACAACATGGATGGAACTTGACCACATTATGCTAAGTGAAATAAGTCAGACAAAGAAAGCCAACTAGTGCATGATATCACCTCTCTGTGGAACCTGAAAAAATCAAACTCATAAAAGATATAGTAAAATGATGATTTACCAGGCGATGGATGGTGGGGCATAACATTGCTGTTGTTTAAGAGTGCACACTTGCAAGTAGTAAATAATGAGTAGTAAATAAGCTACAGTGCTCTAATACAGAGTATAAAGAATATGGGGACAATATTGTAGTATATTGTGTAATAGAATAAATATACTACATTGGCAATCATATTGCAATATATATCAAAGTAACACGTTGTACACCTTAGATTTACACAATGTTAAATGTCAAATATATCCATTTAAAAAGTATATAAGGTGAATGGATAAAGAAGAGGTGGTATATAAATAAAATGAGTGGAAAGATCTCCTTAACTTTATGGAGGGAGTTATTGGAAGATAGAAGAAGAGGTCACACAGCCCTAAAACAAGCAAGCCACAGATACAACGACTATGAGCGCTACTGCCAAAGAAGCTACCATGTGGGGACAGCCCAGGCCCAAGCAGTGCGCTGCATACTGTCCATGTGCTAGATCCTTTAATCCCCACAGAAAATCATGACCGTTTATGTAAACGAGGAAACTGAATCTCAGTGAGGTCAACTGTCTGTCCAAGGTCACATAGCTAGAAACTGTAGATCCCAGATGATGCCTTTGAATGGGAGAATTTCTTAAGCTCCCTGTGATTTTACACAGGTAAACTTACAATGTTTAAAGGCACTTCTTTCTGAGACTGTTGGAAATTTTACTTTAAAAAAATACCAATTTATAGGTGATATTAATAAATGCTTTGTTATTGAAATGGGGTGTCCTACCTGGTCTTTGGTGTTTATAGCAGAGACAATAATAAGACATTACACTGGTTTCTATAATTTTGCAGCTCCTAGGTGCTAACTGAATGACTGGAAGAATCCCTTCTTACATAATGAAGTTGGCAGAAGTGAACTGTGGGTATCATAACCTGCCCTACCTAAACATTATGGCAGCAGGTGAGGTTGAGGATGGCATGTAAAATACTCAGGTGCTGGGCGCCTGAGTGGCTCAGATGGTTAAGCGTCTGCCTTTGGCTCAGGTCATGATCCCAGGGTCCTGGGATCGAGTCCCACATTGGGCTCCCTGCTCCGCAGGAAGCCTGCTTCTCCCTCTGCCTCTGCCTCTCTCTCTCTCTCTGACTCTCATGAATAAATAAATAAAACATTAAAAAAAAATCTTTAAAAAAAAATACTCAGGTGCTGACATGGATTCATATTCCACTGGACTCTGTACAATAAGATTTCCCTTGCATATTATGTTACTGCTAATATAAAGCATTAGTAAATTCTATGCAACGCTGAATAATGCAGCTAAGGAGGTAGAGGTGACAGGAGAAATGTACTGATTAACATGGATAAGCCCTACAATAGCTAATTTTGTGAAAGGAAACACAGAAATATCATTCTGTGAACAGTCCTAAGGTGAAAGTCAATCATTTAACAGTTACAAATGCCAGTGTGTAGAAATATGGGCAGAATTTTACACCCATTATGAAATGCAAGAATGTGAAGTTCACATATGAAAGCCTAACAGATGAACAGCTACAAACAGGCACCAAAGAAATAATACGGACAGATAAATTCATTAAGAAAATGATTACCACTGAGATAAACAATAAGGATAAATGGGGCTTACCTAATTTCTAAATTCTTCTCTCCTATCGTGGGCATAAGTTTATTTTAAAATCTTCATTCCACACGTAAACAAAAACAAAAATGTGTGCATCATTTGAAAAACAACAACCCTTTGACAATGCGGCAATTTTCAAAGGATTGACTCTATTAGTCCAAAGAAATATTTTAGGACGTGCAGACTCTGTGTATAGGCTGTGCATCTATGATACATGTATCCATATAATCTCCTACCCTCCAATCCCCACTCAAGAACTCATCAGCTGCTTTGAGGTGCGAGGCATCAATTCTGTCAAGGGCGTCAATAGTTCAGGACTTACGCTGACAGTTCTTTGCATCAACTGCGTCTCCAAAATATCCATCAGCACAGAGCTCACAGAAGCGGCCTGTTGTACCTGGCTTACATATCAGACAGGAGCCAGACAAGCTGTCACAGCTGCCAGGGATGGAGAAGTCAAGGTTGTCACTGCATTGGCATGGCTGACATGATCCTCCAGGTACAGAAGGTTGTCCAAAATAGCCTTCTGCACACCTACGGGGAAAAATTTCATCAGTGAGTATTTGGGAGGAACTCATGAAACCCATCGGGGGCAATGCTTATATATTTTTCACACTACCCTCTCCCAGGATGATAGGTTTTTCCTTTTAAGTGCTCCTTTTCTCGAATGCAAGGTGATTAAACATGTTTTTCTATAACTGCAGTGTAGATACAAGATGAAATCCTGCCAGCCCCACTAGTAATTAGATTTCAGCCAGGAAAAAAAAAAAAAAATCTTGTCACTGGCACTGAAGACGAGACCAAAGCATAATAAGAAATCTGCTGCTGGCACTCTAGAGGAATCCAGGTCCATGTTGGAAAGCCTTTGTAGTGCAACATATCACATGTATCTACTCCAATTGGTTGTTTTCTGTACAAATATATAAGGTTCACGTTTTTTGTTGTTGTAACAAAAGCTTGTTATGAGGAAACAGACTTGCAAGGAAATTTAGCAGCGAGAATTCAGAATTTATTAAATAGAAAATTGTGACTCAAAATTTGATTCTCGTTATTATTCAGGTGGGGGCTCTGGGTATCGCTGCGTTAATAATAGGTTTGTATATATTTGCATTTCCATACAGAGGCAGATTTTCATTGAAGAGCTTTTACCAAGAAGCAGGTATGCCTACATCTTGGGGTAACACCCTGTAAGGTGATGCTTAATTGTGCCACAACTCGCATTAGCAAACTCTAAGTCTCTCTCTCTCTTTTTTTTTTTTTAAGGACTAAGTACTCTTTTACATACTATTGGAAAAACAAGTTTGTTTATTTATGAGGCATAGCAGAGAAGATTTTTTAAATTATAGTATCAAATTTCCCTTTATCCATATGTTGTTTCAAAATGCTCCTTAATGTCACAGATGCACAGATATACGGTTTTAGGAGGCATCTATTCATATTCTGCTCTGTCTTCTCTTTCAGTTACATTTGTTCATGCTTCATATTAAACCACACTTGCCAGAGGAGAAACAAAACAGTGCATCTCTAGTCTTACAGTCAGGCTGGCTCTGTCATCTGTACCATCTTAGCAAAATAAAAAGTCCTTTGCAGCAAAGATCAAAACTGAAGGGGGACAAAAACAATATGGGAGAATATAATTTCAATAGTACACACTTTTATGCTCCTCTAGTCACAGACACATAAGTAACTGTGTAGAGAAATGCTCTCTACCATTCAAAATAGAAATGATTTAAATCCATTACATCATGTGAGGGTATTTAATAACATCACAATTATGGGCCAAAGTCATTAATGACTCAGAGTTTTCTAGAACACTTGTAAGTGCCATAATAATCTTTTTTTTTAAAAAAGAGAATTAACCTTTGTCCATAATTTTTAAATGAGATTACTAGTTTTAATTATATTCACAAAATATTGTACAAATCATGAAAGTCACAGTATAAATACTGCTTGGAAGAATATGTCACCCACAAATATAATTGCTTATTAATTATCCACTGTAAAATATGAACTAACATTTTAGTGCATAAAATTTCCCCACAATACAGAAGCGGTATTCCATAAAGATAATAGGAAGACACTTTTGAATTTGAACCCAATTCTCCTTGCCTTACTTGATATGCAGAGCTTATGATCACATCCACATATACTTGCATCTCATTTTGTTTACCATTAAGAGTGAGACTCCACTCCACTAGAATAACGATATACAATGATCATTATTGCAGCCAACAAAAGCCCATTATTTTCAGCTCACTTTCCTCAAAATGACTTACTGCCCTCAGGAGAGATGGTATTATATAACAAGATCTGGGAATTTTTCTTAACATAGATACCAATTAATAAGCCTAAAATTCTCCTACAATAAAAAGGAACCTTCTGTTCATGAGAAAATAATTACAATTAAGTAGACTAACCAAAGAAGCATGTTTTATTTTTTGTTGGAGAACACTTAAGAAAGCGTATTGAATATACATGATAGATAATTCATATGCCGCTCCATTAAAAGTGTGCATTCAGGTTCTATTACTGGTGTGTGTATATGTGTGTGTGTTTCCATACGTAGAATAGTAGTTTTAGAGACATAAAAATGTGTAAGTAGAAATTTAAAAGTAATTCTAGGGTCAACGAATATAATACTGCTAATCATAGAACTTTTGTTAATAATAATAGTGTTTTATAGTCTGATCGAGTTGGAGTCACTTAATTAAAATTAGTGTGAATGACAGCCTTTTAGACCTTGCCAGCCTCTCAGTTTTTCACTCTATAAAAACTAACTGTAATTTGAAATCTCAGGGTCTCTCATTTTCATACGTAAGGCAGAATGAGGACATTTCTTAGCAGAGTTTATTGGATTCCTTGCTACATATAGATGTCCTGACAATACAAAGTCGCTGTTCCTTTCCACTTTTGCTAACTTTTTTCATACCAAATTGCAGTATTTTAGAAAGAGACCTTTTAATGTAGATGAGATTCTAGATGCCACATGCCGTTATGTAATATGGTTCTTTCTATCGACGACTTAGGAACAATGTTAGAGAGAGAGAGAGAGATGAGAGAGGGAGAGGGAGGATAGCAAAAGTGAAGAGAAAGGGCAATGAGAAGTGCAGAGCAATATTGGCAAGATTTCTCTCACTCTGCTGCTTCATTTTTTCAATAACTTTTGGCTAAAATATGTGGCCTACAGTCCTATTCAGTATCTATAGACTAAACACAGTGCTTCAATCTCTATAAGCATACTAGAAAAGCTCTTGTTCTTTTCCTCTCCTGCCCTTCCTCAAATACCTACTGAACACTTCATCATACTAATATAAATAAGGCACAATCTTTATGCTGCAGTCTAGGGAGAAGAAAAAGAAATTAAAAATGTAGCAGGAACTACTACAGATATGCCAATGTTCTCATAGAAGCACAAAAAGGGGCAACCAATTCAGATTAGGATTCATCAAGGACACTGTCAGGATGATAGAGTTGAATTGAAAAAGTTCAGCAGGGTGAGTCTCACGTGGAGGAGTGGAAGGGCTGCAGGCTTCTAGTCAGAGGGAACAGTATTGGCGAAGGCACAGAGGAGGGTGGCTGGCGTGTAAATGGGAGTGGCTATGCAATAGGGATGTATTCTTACTACTTCCCATGTGACTGAATCAGTTAAAGACTGAGTGAGTTTGCCTGCTTATGTGGTTCCTTTCTGCAAATTAGAGGAAGAAAAGGGTCCTCTTTGAGCATATGCAGAAAAACGAAGAGATAGTGGACATACTGAGCACCCGGGATTCAAGCTCCTAATCTCCCCCTCGGCTGAGTACTTTTGTGCAGTATACATACTTCCCAAGCACATAGGAGCAGACTTTGAAACCTTACTTGTAGTCACAATTTTGCTAATGGTACTACTGAGTTAAGTATGACTGTCTTGCTTTTTCTATTTCTGTGACTATACACTCCACATCTGAGACTCAAGGGCACAAGGAGACTCAGGCATGAGTAGAAATTCTCACCAGCATAGTGGTAATATGGTAATTAGACTCATTCAAAGTCAGGAATTTATGAAGCAGAGAATATCTAAATAGGATTTTGGAATTGAAATTTAAAAAGTAAAAAGAAATTTTTCTGACCTAGAATATGTATCATATGGATAAAATTGTAGGTAAAATTCCAAATTTTAAGCAATTAGGTTCCAATACCTTCTGCATTCTCAGTGGCCATTGTGAAATTAGTCTTGACTTTGACCTCTCTCTCCTCACTTGGGGAGGAGTTGTTAAAAATTTGCCAGCTAGGGAGGGGACAGGGCTTCGGGGGCCCCTGTACCTCATCAAGTTTCATGTGGATCCAACTGGGTCAACTTACCACAGTCTTTTTTTCTTAAGATTTATTTATTTATTCTGGGGGGAGGGGCAGAGGGAAAGAGAATCTCAAACAGACTCCCTGCTGAGTGCAGAGCCTGCCCATGTGGGGCTTGATCCCACGACCCTGAGATCATGACCTGAGCTGAGACCAAGAGTCAGACGCTCAACTGACTGAGGCACCCATGCGCCCCGCCAGTCTTTTTAAGTGTCTCTCCATTAAGTATGATATATTGCTGGAGCTACAATCTTATTCTGAAAGTAGCTTAGTGACAAGTAGAGCAAGTCTCACCAGCATTTAGCTCACTGTTTCTCCATGTTCTTTTAAATTTCTCTCGATGCTCCAACACTCACCCTTTCACCCTTCAAGATACTTTGTTTTTCTATTTTTTCTCCTCCTTGACGATGACAGATGCCCAGAATCTTAGAAAAGTGCCATGATGAATACTTCATTCCTTCATTCTCTCTCTGTTTTTCTTTTGTTTAAAATATTCCCCAGAGGAAAGCAGTAATATCTGAAAATATGGGCGCTTTGGCCCCAAGCAAAAGTTTCTGAAAAGTGTAACTAGTGTTCTACATGTTATAGAATATCAGACAGTATTTTAAATGAATTAAAAAAAAAAAAAGCAGAATCAGACCTATAAGACCTATGAGTACAGAGAACACACTAACGGTTGCCACGGGGGGTGGGGGACTGAGGGTAGTGCAAAATGATGAAGGGGAGAGGGAGGTACAGGCTTCCAGTTATGGAATGAATAAATTGTGGGGATGAAAGGCACAGCATAAGGAATATAGTCAATGGTACTGTGATAGCGTTGTATGGTAACAGATGGGAGCTACACTTGTGGTGAGCACAGGATAACCTATAGAGTTGTTGAATCATTATACTGTACACCTGAAACTAATGTAACATTGTGGGTCAACTAAAAAAAATATTAGTTAATATTTTGTTATATCTCGTTTTGCCATTCTCTTGTTTATGATTGTTTTCATTCCCTCAGTTCTAGCAGCAAGACCATCTTGTGCTACATGACTGAGTGAAAGGATCTGACAAGGACGAAAGCAGAAACACAGGAATCTTCTGGACTTTGAGCTCTAAAAGTCACCATTTCTATGAATGTGGCCCCTCTTACTGCAATTCATCCCCAAACAGAAAATGGGATGAAGTTAGAAAGGCAGATGGAGAAGGGATGAGAGTAGAGAGTTGGCGGGTCCCAGCGTGGAGTGAAGGCAGCAGAATGAGTCCTGCACCCCCACTGGTGGTATGAAGTAGTGCGGCGTTATTCGGCCTGAAGGGAAAGGCAGTTGGGAGGACGGGAACAAGGAAGAGGTTGGCAGAAACACCCTTGGATGTTTGTCCCACCATCTGTCCATTGCCTCCCACAATACAGAGCCACACGTGCATGTGTGCACGTACACACACACATACACACAGAGCCACACACTCATACAAATTCACAGCCACACACACTCACAGTCACATACACACTCACAGACCCACACACAGCCACACACATACTCACTCACTCAAGCATTCAGGTTTCCGTGTACTAAGTAAGCTTGTTAGAACTTTAATTCAAGCCTGGGAGATGGGGAGGAGAGAAAAAAAACCAGATTTCTTAAATAGAAATATAATTGACATATAACATTGAGTAAATTTAAAGTGTACCTGACTGAAATTATGTTTCCAAGCTCTCACAGCTCCCACATATAGAGATTTGGTCTCAAAATAGAAATTAAATTGAGATAAAGAATATAAAGTTATAATTCCTGTCCACCTGAGCTGTAGTCTGAGATGCATTCTTGATATATATATAGATAGATAGATAGATAGATAGATGGATATAGATTTAGATAGATATAGATATAGTAAGGATTTATGGTCACACAAGATTAGAAAACGCTGGTGATAGGATAATGGATAGAGTTGTCTAATCACTATGTTGTATACCTGAGACTAATGTAACATTGTGTGTCAGCTACACCTCAAGAAAAGAAAAGAAAATGCTTAAAGAAATTAAACAGATTTCTTCCATCCAGGACATGTCAGAATTTTTAACATGCTAATAGATACTTCAATACTTACGTGATCACAGAACTCTATTTCAAAAACATCTACAGTTTGGGAAACACTGCTCTAGTTTTCCAAGGCTGATTTTATGTAGATGATGTGCACAAACTGATTACACCAATCACTTACAGAATAGTTTTGATTACAAGATTTTCAGGGCAACCAGGATCTTCTTCTTCCTCTGACCCTTATTCTCCTCTCCTTCCACTTCAGCCAGCACATCCTCAAAAATGTTTCTTCTAATATTGTGAATCCCTCTACTAATGGACTTTTGAGCTCATATAAATACAGAGAAATGATAAACGCTGAATATTCCTGGAAAACCCTAATCCAAATTCTGGCTAGAAAAATATAATATTCCATCTTCCATATCATAATAGTTTAAGATGATTTTTGACTAAAAAACTTTTGGAGAAAAGATATGCCATTTGAGAAGCAGCATATGTCCGTTTCCATTTTTTTTAAGCCTATTAATAAAGATTTTGAACAGAAAATCATGCTTACTGTCAGGTATTTCTTTCCTCGGTGATTTTGATTATTCAGATTAGATTTGTTTCCAGAATACATTCAACCATTGTCACCCACACACGTACACACACACACACACACATACAGAGCCACACACTCATACAAACTCACAGCCACACACACAGCCACACACACTCACAGCCATGGGAGCTGCTTGAAGGTAAGCACGGTGCAATGCATCTGTTTGTATCCTATATAGCAAGCCCCGTGCCTGTCACGTGGTAGTTGCTAAACTGATGTTTGTTAAGTAAAATGCAGAATGCTAAACTGTACCTGGTTCAGAAAGGATTGTCTACCATGTATAGAAAATACAGAGCATGAAGCAAAGTAACATAAACACACCAGAGACTATGCTCCCCTCAATAAGTGGATTTAATGGCGTGGCGTCACAGATCAGCTATCATTTTCCAGCTGCTAAAGAAAAGGTTGCCTGTAGTGAGCCAGGGGCTTGGGCACTTGGTGTAAGTCTGTCTTGGCAATGATGTGTCCTGCGATTAGAGTAAGTGATCTACATGTGCCCTCCTTTTTATTTTTTTATTATTAACGCAAAGACCTCCGGTTCCTCGGTTGCAAATAAGTCATCCGTATTTCAGTTCTAGTCTTCCATTACTCATTTACAGATGTTGCCATTCTCACAAACAGTCCTTGTTGCTGCTGGGAACTGTCATTGGTACCTCGTGCACCTCGTCCACAGATGGCTAGCTGTTGGCTAAACTCTCTCTGGGTGATCGACTCCTGCTTCATTAACTTTATGCACCCCGGCTGAACTAGGGTGAAAAGAGGACAGGAAAGGAGAAGCAGAAATAGCCCTCTATGGGCTCTGCCTTGGTGATAATGGGTGAAGGCAGGTCACTTCCTCTGCTTCCCCCACCCCCAGTGATGGCAGCAAAGGGGAAGACTTCCAGGGCTAAAACCAGAGAGATGTTGGTGTACTTGTCAATGATATCAAGGGAGAATTTTGTACCATTTTTATGCTAAGACTGAAATACAGAAGAACCTTTCCTTCAAAAATAGTTCAGGAGAAAAATAATCACACAAATTACATAAAATCATATCTCTGGTTCCACTGCAAAGCAACCTAGTAAAATCAACAGGAATTAAAATACGGGCTTAGAAGTAATTAGAAGAGGATAGAAATCATGATAATAAATCACGTTTTATTTCTATATTCAAATATATTTAAAGTAAGTTATGGACCGCTTACTGAACTATGAACTACACATTTAATCCCCATTTTAAGAACAAAAAACTAATTATGAAAAGTAAATGGTGCCAACATAGACAGTAAGATAAATCTTAAAGTGCATGACTTTCCACTTGAGCAATACTTTCTAGGAAGATTGTAGGTTAATGCTTAACCTTGAAGATTAAAACATTAATCAAACACTCTCTGAGTGAACAGAGATTTACAGAGCAATTTCTAGAGAATAAATAAACTGTAAGAATAAAATGCATTTGTTTGACAAGTACAGTGAGAAACTTTACTTCATCTCACTGAGTGTGGCGGCATTTCTGAAGTAGTGCGAAGGATGATAATGCCTGTGGTTTTATAACTTCTGAGTTCGAAATCCTTGTGACAGACAGTGTAGTCCATGCTTACCTCTCACAGCGTGGTCCTCTGTACCCGACAGAGCATGCATCACAGATCAGTCCGAGACTTCGGTCTAAATGGCACGTCGGGCTAAAGCTATGTTGACATTGTTGGGGAACAAGAGAGACAAGGAAGAAGCACATACACAAAGTCATTAATGGCATATTTTCATTTCTCTTCCTCCAGGACTGCTGTGACAAAAGGGTACACAGGATGGTCATTCTTGTCCCACAGATGGAGATAAGGGTCTGGCCAAGCGAGGATGAAATGACACTGTTATTTCTGCAGATGTGAATATAGCCCAGTGGAGAGCAGGAGCTTTGTGGCATGTTATTAACTGACTTTTGACTGTTCTGGGTCCGTGATCATCAGTAACAAGTGGCGCTATACAGTCGCTTTGTAGGGATAGCCCAGGCCTGGCAAGACACGGCATCATACACTTTCCTTCTAGCCAAATCCTTCTGAATTTGAAGCAGCTCAGAAAAGTCTGTTAGAGATTTTGGAAAACTCAGTATGTGATCTCGGGAGTAGTGATGGGAGTGGTTGTGGTGATGGGGCTCCTACTTTCAGTACTGGTTCCTTGTGTGGGGGTGCGTGGGGGTGTGTGCACGCATGCGTGCATATGCGCAAGCTAATGCCCATGTGGGCCCAGGGGCATGCTGTTTAGGCAGATGAAATCTTCCAAAAAGTTTTCAGAAGAGAAAAGCATACGGATTCTGCTTAAATATATAGTCAACCAAACAATCCCCAAAAAGCTTGCCATTGCACATCTTCTGGCACATTCCAAAGTTGATCTCTCTCTTTGTACATATTTTCAGTTTGGGTCTGAAGTAACAGAACTGAAGACCACATTAGGATCCAGCAGAGTAATTACAGAATTACATGCCAGCCTTCAACAACATGTACAACCCCAGACATACTTCTTTGCCTTGGGAGAGACACCCCTCACGCATGAACCCTTACCCTAAGATTGACCCAATCGCTTTCTGAAGAGCCATCAACCCTTCTGAATTCTGAGATCTGCTGCTCTACCATTTTAAAATAAAATGCCCCCTATTAATCTCTCTCCCATTATGTTTTCCCTAAATAGATTTACTTTTCTATTTTATATGACAGGACAATTCAATAGAGGCTTGCTTGATGGCTAAATGAATTAATGAGCAAACAACAAATTAAATACTCCAAGTCCTGATCGTGTTCTGCTCCTGACACTTGGATAACTTTGGAATACTTCCTTGACTTTTGTGCAGGTCAGATCACAAGTACTACTTCTGAATAATACTCCTCTGGCTTAACTCATAGCAGTCCTACAAAGATTTAATAATTCTTTTTTTTTTTTGATAGTAGCAAGTTATTAGAACTTCTATCATTTAAAACATTTCAACTCAATGGAAAGTCAAAATGAATCTATTGAGGTAAGGCAGGGGAGAAGCCTGGCTTGGGCTACCTTGAGTTACAAACATTACCCAGATAAAAGACGCCATGTTAAGGGGTTGTGGAGGCTGCCATGAGCAGCAGAACCAAGTCCCAACTAGCCTGTGCTCCGTGAGGGAGAGTCATCTTTTGGAGAGCAGCCTGGCACTTGCTCCCAAAAGGACCTCACCATGAGTGATTTTCTTGGCAGGTGAATGACTGTGTTTTGGCACACGTAAAAAACGGAAAGAAACATGTTTTTTTCCCTCCTCACCTCGTGATTTGCTATTGTTTCCAGACATAAAAGGGAGTTCTGGATTTTGACAAATCTCTAAAATACATGTATGTCTTATTTTAAAATTGGCATTCTATAACTGTCTCATTGTCTAGGGACAAAATGACTCTAACGAGAAGCCCTGGGTCTCCCACTCATGTGGGGCTCCAGTGACTGAAAGAAAACCGCACCAATTATTTTTTAAAATCCTAAATCAGCTTACCATAAGTCATGTCAAAGGTGCTTGACAAGGTTTCTGACACTTTGAAACTATAAAATAGATTTCAAATTCTTAAATATACTCATGTGTCAGTTAAAACCAACAGAAGTAAAGGAAAATGCACCCACTGACAAAAATCAATACTTTTTCAGGAAAAAAAATAAGGGATAACAGTATCTTCGATTTGACCAGCTCTTTACATGTTCAGGGGACTTTTACAAATAATTTTATCACATTTGCACAAAATCTTATAAGCTGGTTGGGGCAGGCATCATTTGTCTTGCCCAAGGTCATAGCTAAAATCCAGGAGCCTTTAGCATGGAATCTAGGACTTCTCATTTCTAATTTGACATTCTCTTTTCCCTGTAACCAACCAGCATTCATTCATTCTACTGGTAAGAATTAAGTAAATTTAAACTTTTGGTAATACATTACTTGACGTGATGCATCTAAATAAAATATCCTCATAAATTATGTCTGTATTTGTGATTCAATATTCTTTAAACAATATAAACTGAGGGTTTACTCACTTCTTACTATAATTACAGTTACTGCTATAAGGAAGAGGGCATTCAACAACAGAAATAAAATGAGAATGGGAAATAAACATGTACAACAGCAAATGTCCACAGAATTTATTTTGGCCAACGCAGCAAGTGACTTGACACTGATTTTGGCCAAAATAGGAAGCTAACTATTCTGTGACAGAAAGAGGGAACTGTAAGATCATTGTTGATTTCCAGTGATTCCAAGATTATGCCATTTAACTCTAGTTGGCTAGCTCTCCATCAGCAGAGAGACTGTGGTCTGCTTCCTGAATTATCCACTTCATGCCACAGAAGACACAAGTGATCCAAGAATAGCAGGCATTTTCCACAAGTAGGAGGAAGATAAGAAGCTACTGGTCAACTACCTAGTAAGGATCTGCACATGGAAATAGTCCTTCTTAATGGCTGAAATTCTTAGATTTATAATGATCCATTTGTAAGTATGTAATATGTGTATGTTTGTGTGTGTATATATATATATGAATATATGTGCAAATACAGATGTTTGTGCTAACGTATGTTCCTATGTACATATACAATTGGCCTTGCTCCAAGAAGAATTTAATTCTACCTGTCAAAATATGTCCATTAAGATAAAATGGTGCAATAAGGTTCAAGAGAAAAAACATGATAAAATCAAGGGTGTTTTTAGAGCACAAAATGCATACATATCATAAGGTATTTTTTTTTTAAGATTATTTATTTATTTATTTATTTGACAGCAAGAGAGAGACAGCGAGAGCAGGAACACAAGCAGGGGGAATGGGAGAGGGAGAAGCAGGCCTCCCACAGAGCAGGAAGACCAATGCGGGGCTCCATCCCAGGACCCTGGGATCATGACCTGAGCCGAAGGCAGAGGCTTAATGACTGAGCCACCCAGGTGCCCCAGCGTATGTTCTTTTGAAAGTGGCAGTCAACATATGGCTTTGAGCTTTCCCTCAGCTAACGCAAGAGGGAACTGCATTGCCTCTTGGGACCCTGATGCGATAATGAAATAACCACCCCTTTTGCCACTGATGTGAAATTTCCAGCATTATAAAACTAGGGTTATAAAATCAGGGTGTGTTCTATGTTGTGTATACAATAGGGGAGCAGGACTCCTGCTAACTAACTGCAACCTGGAATGTTTGAGTTGGGGAAAGAGGAACCAGAAGATGATGCTGCAGTGTCCACAAGAGAGCTGCAGGAAGGGCGATGAGAACACCCAGTCACAGCTGCCCAAGGAGCAGAGGACTGAGAAGGAAGGGAGAAAAACGAAGGGAAAACTCCTTTACTTGATGACGGTGGTTTGGGCCACATGAAATTCTGAAGTGTCTCTGTAAGGTTTTCTTCTTTCAGGTCAATGATCTCTGTCCTAATTCTCAGGAGAACCAGTAAGCAAACATATATATTTCTTTAATTACCTTCAGATGATATGAAATCTGATTTAATGTCCGTCCCTGAATTTTGTAATTAGAACTGGGTTATTTTCTGTGTTTTTGGATGGTCTTTGTCCTCTAAACTTGAGTTTCTCATTCAGCAAAATGAGAGAATATGATCTACCTAGTAAAGCCTTTCATACTGATCAAGTACAAAAGCAAGCGTGTCGCAGAGTGCCACAGTAAATTACGGCTGCCATTTAATAATGTTTTCGATTGTTTTTGCCAAAATATGTTGATTTGTTTCCATTTTAAGGTATTTCATTACTTGTTAATTAAACCTGCGCTTTTTCATCATACTCTAATCCCTACATTTGTGTTAGCGTAACTGTTGCCAAACCCTGGGATCATTTCTTATGACGAACATTTACGGTGTGTCTAACGTTGAACTTGTGTTAATTTTCTTTTCTTTCCTTTTGTTTTCTTGCTTCTCTTCAATGTCTCTGTAATTGTTTCTATTTCTATAGCTGCCTTGGAAGAAGCACAGAAAGGTGAATCAGAGTATATGGGTTCTAATATTGGTTCTGCCACAAGCAAGCTGTAATGATCATGATCAAGGCATTTAATTTCTCTGGAGTTTAGCTCTCCCTCTGGTATGAGGGACTGGTAAAATACATCATAATCACTCATGGAGACATAAAACAATGTGTATGAAAGTGCTCTGAAACATCTAACACCCTCAAAGATTTCTCAAGAATGTTGCTGAATATTTTCTTAAATTTACCTTCTGTCTTGGAATAGTTCTATTTCTCTATTAAAAGTAATAATTACAACAGCAATAATTCAATGTAGCCCTGTGAGTGAGCCCAAAAGTCAGCTCTAGGAGTGCTCCATTCTTTTAAAAATTTAAATTCTAGCATTCCTGACGCACACAAAGAAGTAGTATTCAAAACGGTATCAGTAAATAGGACTTTACTGAGGGCCTACCCTCTGTCCAGTCTTGTGGCAAGAATATCTTGAATTTTATTATACAAATGATTTCAATGATATTATCTATTCAAACACATTCTAAATGTTCAAGGGTGGACATTCATGTGTCTCTTTCATATTATATTTAATTTATAAGCTATGTGATGCCAGAAATGAATGAATACAAAACATTTGAAATATTTACATATTCATTTGCTTCTCTAGAGATAAATTTCACTACCTAGTTACAATCTATAGCTAGAATATATACATCACCAAGATGAGAGGGCTAAGCAAACAGTGGACACTGTGCATAGCTGATGAAGTTGATATATATGCATAATTTAAATATTATATGCTTGCCTGTATTTATATATCATAATAATTATACCAATCTATCTTTATCTCCCTATATATTTGATTTATTTAGCAGTATTATCTAAGAAATTTGGAGGCAAAATGCTTATGATCTTTAAGATTTATGATCAGGGATTAAATAGATAAATCACCAAAGCAAAACTATCACTAAGCCTTATACTTCAGATGAAGGTTACAGCAACCTTTAGCTGATTTTTTTTTTTTTGGTTATTAACCTGTGAAAATTTGAATTCCATCTTCTGGATTATTTGTGGATATTCAATTTATTCCTCAGAGTTTTCAACTCAGTTTATAATAGTAATGACTTTTCAAAAATTTTTTTTTTAAATGGAGAATTTCCCTGTCTCATTATTTAGTGATTTAAAAATAAAACACTTCAGGCCATTAGATTACAGGGGCTTTTTCTAATCACAATTGCACAGCTAAACAATGTTAATGTTCCACGCGGTTTTAAATTTAAAAGTCTTTATAACTTTAAACACAAAACTAAGTATTTTTAAACTAAATGGATTATCACTGTCTTTCTACTTGGAAAAAAAAGCCATATTTGAAACTGGAATTTAAAACAGATTGCTACTCTATTCTCAGTTCTACTTCTCAAGATAAAATTATTTAGTAATTTAATTATTATTTAATGTAGTTAAACATCTCAAAAATTGAAGGATCTTTAAATACTTGGGTGTCACTGATGCTATGGAGGTGCCTTTATTTTTTTTTTTAAAAATCAAGATCTGCATAATTATACAAAATGCGAATATATATACTTGAGGAAATACCATCTTTGGAACTGGGACCCAATCCCTTTGTTACTGATGGATGGTGATGCTGATACACAATTCTCAAAATGTATTAAGTTCAGATTTGCATTGTATAATCAACGGCAGCCTGCTGGATTGGTAGTTCTGTTAGTGACTAACATCTTGCCTGAGAAGTACAACAGAAATGAGTGGCCAGATGTAGTCCCTGTTTTTCTCAGTGAGAGCAAGTGTTTAACACTGAATTTTGAGTATATTGGATGGCCCTGGAGAATTTCATTCAGCCATAGTGAATGATCAGGTTCTCCATTGCATGGTCTAACCCTTCACAAGTACACCAGCGAGCTTGTGTCTATCTAAGCGCATGCCCTAAACTCTGGAAATGTTTTGATCACTAACATATGTTAACCCAATTTCCCATTTAATTGCTTTTAATGTTAGCACTTAAAATTCAGTGTGTTTTTTAAAAAAGTTCTCAATGTAGACTGCAGAGGCCTGGAAGGTACAGTGACTTGAAACTTAAAATTCCAACTCTGATACTTTAATATTATGACTCTGAGCAAATTATTTAATAATAATCAGTCCTTGTATTGGACTCATCATGTCCAATCACTGTTTCAAGTGCTTGGTGTATTTTAATTTACGTAATTCTCACAACAACCCTATAAGGAGGTCCTATTATCACAACTAATGATGAAAGAACTGAGACACAGAGCATTTAATTAACTTTCTCAGAGTCACACAGCCAGAAAGTACAGAACTCAAAATTTAAATCAAGGATTTCTAGCTCCAAAATTGGTTCCATAATGCTATTTTTCCACTTGGAGACTTTTTCTTAATCTGTAAAATGGGGGTAATAATATTCCCCTTATTGGACTGTATATTGCTATATATAGAATATAGTAGTCTGTTTTATTTTATTTTAAAGATTTTATTTACTTATTTGAGAAAGAGAGAAACAGAGACAGAGAGAGTGAACATGAGCAGGGGGAGGGGTAGAGGGAGGGAGAAGCAGTCTCCCCACTGAGCAGGGACCCCCACGTGGGGCTCGATCCCAGGACCCTGAGATCATGACCTGAGCTGAAAACAGGCGCTTAACCAACTGAGCCACACAGGTGCCCCTAGTAGTCTGTTTTAATTAAATATTAGTTCTCTTCCCCTCCCCCCCCAATGATTAAGGTGTAAAATTCTGAAAGAGGAGGTTTGTTGGACAGGAGGATAAGGATTTCATGTGGACTGAAAAGTAGGAACCATAATTTCCATGAGGACTTTTAAACTTAGTGACAGAATTATTATCTACGTCTTTAGCTTATAGTATTCATTGACTCTAATAAAAAGACCATTTTCACTGGCAGTGTCTTGGGTAAGACCTCATTCAGAATATGACCAAGTTGATAACACCTTTACATTAAAAGACCATAGCTGATAGATTTAAGGAAAAATGAAGGGAGGGTAATCGGAGGTGGAGACGAACCATGAGAGACTATAGACTCTGAGAAACAAACTGAGGGTTTTAGAGGGGAGGGGGGGAGGGAGATGGGTTAACCCGGTGAAGGCACGTATTGCATGAAGCACTGGGTGTTATACGCAAACAATGAATCATGGAACACTACATCAAAAACTAATGATGCAATGTATGGTGATTAACATAACATAATAAAATAAAATTTAAAAAAAATCACCAAAAATGTAAGCTCTTCAAGCATTATCACAGCATTTAGAAATAGCTGGAAAGAGCCTAATATAATACGGACATTATTAAGCACTAAGCTTACCTATTTTTTAAAGATTTTTAAAATTTATTTATTAGAGAGAGAGAGAGAGAAATAGAGAGAGTGTGTGTGCTCATGAGAGAGCATGGCTGGGGGGGAGGGGGAGAGGGAGAAGCAGACTCCCTGCTGAGGAGGGAGGCAGAGGGGGATCATGACCTGAGCTGAAGACAGAGGAAGCACTATGCTTACCTTTAAGAAAAGTCTCCAAAAAGATGCCTTTCACTTACAATCACCATTATTTACAATTTTTTACTAGTGCAGAAAGGTTGGATTTTGTTCAACATAGTATGCCCCATTAAAATAAGAACTGTTTGTGATGCAGGGTTATGCTTAATGGTAATGGCTTAAGGTTGGCCACTCGGAGGGAATGGGAATTAGAGCAGCTGAAAGAAAGCACTCCCCTAAAAGGTAAGGGGGGAGGCAGACAAAACACTCTTAAAAGTCTTCTCCAAGACTCCAAGGTTATTGTTCTAGCTGGATAATTAGAAAAATTTTTAAAAATAAAAAATAAAAACTAGATGACTGGAAAAATGTATAAAGTTTCATTAAACTTTTTAAAGACTTAGTTTATGCAAAATAAGGTGCTTAGATCACCCATATTTCAATATTCATATCATTTAAATCTAGTCCTTACCACTAAACTGTTTTAGTGAGATAAACTGATATATATATATATATATATATCCTATATGTATGATATCATATGATAATGTGATAAACCATGTGATAACCAAGGGATAGGATGGGTGCTTAAAGGTTAGCTAGATTGGTCTTTTTACTTTTTCTAGGAGTTTGTGACTTGCCAAAGATTCATAAATAAATAGTGTGAGACTGGGACCCAAATGAAAAGTAAATGTATTAGTGATCTTTTTAAAAAAAAATTAAGTAAACTCTACACCCAATGTGGGGCTCAAACTCACAACCCCAAGATCATGAGTCACATGCTCTACCACTGAGTCAGCCAGGTGCCCCAGTATTAGCGGGCTTCTTATTACTGCATGAAGTTACGTACGTATGTGCGTGTGTGTACACATGTGGGCATGTATATACATTTGTATAAAATATGTCTGTCCTTTATAGTTGTTTTAGAAATTCCATTTGAGTTCTGTCACTTACATATTAAATCACCAGAACTAGAATGAAAATATTAAAAATTCTGCAGAATAAATAACCGTAACTTTAAATATTTTATATTTAGAAAAATTCATGCATATATTTATTATTTATGTGTGACAAGAGAAAGAAACATTTGCTATCAAAAATGCACTTGCAGAATTGGATGTCCAAATCATTAGAGAGGTAAGTTGGTTACTCACTTATTGGATGGGATATTGAGTGGACAGGCACAGGGCTGACAGTCTTCAGAGGTTCCTTTACTAGGATCACCATAGTAACGAGGAAGACATTTATTGCAGTATGGGCCACCTGTGTGATTCTTACAGTTCTGAGAAAGAAATGCACATCAAAGGTTATTATTTTGGTCTCAAGCATCAACATATTATCAAAAATAGATCTACAGAGTTATTAATCTGTTCCCTGTTAGGAAGAATAATTTTCCACATTAAATGGTCAATTTTACAGCTGGGAAATTACATTGAAAATTAATCTAATACATAGCTTATAAACTACATGTCAGTTTCAGCATATGCATGCTTAACAAAAAACAACTGAAATTCCTTAAAATTTTTTTCATTATACAAATCTTATTTCCTTTTTGTTAGTTTCCAATTTTTTTCATAAGGAAATACATGTGATTGTGCTTATGTATGTACATGTGCATAGTTACAGAGTCCTAATAATATATATTTAATGGAAATTGTAGCTGATTCTAGGTAAAAGTCAATTGTTCAGTTTAAAATTGCATATTTAATGAGAACAGTGGCTACTCATACAAATCCACTGGGACAATGATGCTCTTACCTCAGAGGTTAATTTGGACCTTAGTGAGCTCTGATGATTTGGACAATGCACTAACATATCACGTCTGTGAGGGGCCTGCTTGGCTCATAATTAAACAATGAGAATACTGAAAGATTTTTAAATACATCAATATGTAATGAAACCACAAGGCACATAACAAGTTTTCTCCAACACTTTTTTTTTAGATGAAACTGCATTTTTCTACAAAGTAGTAATTTTTGGTCCTATGTCCTTTCCAAAAATAAAAAATCAAAATTAAATAATTTATATGTAGATTTCTTCATATTAGTTAAAGTATACTTATCAACTCAGGCTGTGTTCACAAAAGACTGGTATAAAGGTGAACAATCCCGTTAACCAAACACTGGAATTGTCTATAAAGCTTTCAATAGCACAATTTGATAAATTTTTATGTTTTGGCACCACATAGACCTAACTTGTTCTGCCTCCAATGGTAAAATAAAATGTATCTAATTCCTTTAAAAAATAATCAATATGGAATTATTATGACTGAAATACATTTTTATTTTTATAACCACATAAAATAATAATATTTTTCTCATGTTGAAAAGAGTTCATCAGAGCTTAGGGGTACAAAATCTTTATTTTTATGATCATTAATTAAAGATGCAGAAGAAATACCTAAAATGTAAATTGCCTTTTAAGGATAAAGCAAATATTTATTAATCTGGATGACCACTGGGATGGCCAGCCTAATCTAATGAAAGGTCTGAAATATTATTACATCAGTATATTTTTTTTTTTTTTTTAAAGATTTTATTTATTTATTTGACAGAGAGAGACACAGCGAGAGAGGGAACGGAAGCAGGGGGAGTGGGAGAGGGAGAGGGAGAAGCAGGCTTCCCGCCAAGCAGGGAGCCCGATGTGGGGCTCGATCCCAGGACCCTGGGATCATGACCTGAGCTGAAGGCAGACGCTTAACGACTGAGCCACCCAGGCGCCCCTACATCAGTATATTTTTAAAGAAGCTCATTTTAATTACATTTAGTAAATGGATTTAATAAAACCACAAATAAATACATGGTTTTAAATGAAGCTTGTTAAATTCCTTGGGGAGAGGGACAGCTTCTTTATTGAGTAGAAGATATTAAATTAAAATCCAATCATTTAACGCTCTGAATCTCTCACATTCTATAAAATGAGGGAGTTAAAGCCTATGATTCATGAAGTTTTCAAGCTCTGAAATCCCATGACAGTTTCATCAACTACAAGTGAATAGGTATTTCTTTAGTATCTGGTGATACTTGAAAATAGGTTTTTCTTTAAGGTACTTTAATTTCTCTCTCAAACGCATTTAGCAAGCCTTTTTTCAAAGAGAACACAGACGTTAACTTCACTATCAACAGTTGTCTAAATAACAGCATATTAAGATGGAGTGTATAAAACATGGATCAATGTGAAGAAAGGCTTTCCTCTGATTTCATCTTCATATTAATTCCTTTCAGTCTTCAAGCTTAACTAAGGTTGGCTATTACTAAAAAATTGTGTATTTTTTGCAATATTCTTTGCATATTGTCATGATCAAATTGTAACTTTCAAAGACTTAGGGGTTTTAAAAGATCATAAAATTAATTGTCTTAATCATGTTGAAAGTGGTATTTCTAAAATTCCACCGAAAATCTTGCATAACCCAGATACCCTGCTTTTCTTTAACTACTAATCTAAAAGAAAAAGAACATGTAGAAGTTGCTTATATTTCCTAATGGCATTTTTCATCTAGTGGAAATCATAAAATTAGTCTTAACACTCGAGTGTTTTTGCAACTGAGCCTATAAAACGACATTAGACAACAATACAGTGGAAATCAGAACTGAAAAAGATAAGTGTACTCTGATGGGTTGGTTATTTTCACAGGTGTCCTGATATAAAGTGCTTTCCAAATGTCCATTCACAGCACATATGACAATAACAATGAGAAGGGCCAAGTATACAATCTTCCCATGTGGCTTTGAATGTTTCCTGGGTCACTTCAAATGTACTTTGAGTTAAAATGACCTTTTTATAAAGATCCACACTATAACAGCAGTCTGGATTTTGATCCGATATCAAAAATGTATTTCAGTCCATTTCTAATCATATTTCAAACCAAGCTAACTGAAAAGCAGTTTACCTGTAAATTTCATAAATTCTCTGTTTAATGCTGAGGAAAAAAACATACATAATAAAAAAGGAGATAAAATGCAGGTTAAGTAAACACTAAAAATGTCTTTAATGTGCAACATTCAAATATTTTTCTCTGTGGATCATATCAGAACCAATATGCTCAAAATGGGATATTAGCACTTCGTTATCAATATCATTTCAGATAAAAGGCATTTGAAATTCTCCAGAAATATCTTACATGATCACATATTAACCAGCCATAATGGGAAACCCAGAAAACACAAGATTCTACTTCTATTGACAAGATCTCTACTGTTTCTCTAAGATTCTCTCCGTTATATGAAGGTGGGCTCCTATTTTTTTCTCCGTGAAACGGAGTCAATAAACAAGGTTTCATCAGTAGAAGATCTCAGATAATCGTTGTTTCCTCCCTTCTTCCTCCCCAAATTATGCTGAATAAAACTATTTTATTCTAAAAAAAGGGTTTCCATTCTCAGAAATATCACATAACCAAATGGACCAACAGCATGATTTGATTTACTCCTCATCAATTCAACATGAAATAGGACTATTGGAAACAGTGTAAGTCTGGTATTGTGATCTTTTTGTTTTTTTAGGTTTAAATAAAGCAAATCCATATCAGCTTTGGGCTGAATAGTTCCTATAGCATGTTAGCAAAGTGTTTAAAGGTAACTCAATATTTTTCCCAAGGTACATTTTAAAAGACTTATGGTATAATTAAAATGGAAATCGCTTATTCTTTCTATTCATAAAAATGCCATTTGAAAAATCTACTGATCCACAAATTAAGGCTATCATGCTTTATACTGCAATGCAATTAAACAAAATCTTATAGAGAGAAAACAGAAAGAGCATCAACAAACCTAAATGTCAAATTGCATTGAAACAAAAGCCCTGAATTTTCATTTCGGGTTTTTCCCAGAAGCTTTTAAGTGGACGAAAAAGGAGGGAAAACTAACAGGAAGAGAGAACATTAAGAAATAGAGATAACAGAGTCTGCCTTTAAATTCTACAGGGAAATGAGAATAGGATATCCTCCTAAATTGGCACTGTTTCAAATTGTGTTTCTGCAAGACTAATGAAATGAGAAGTGTTGTTTCAAGCTTCATGCCACGTCAGACAATATGAAATGAACATGCCCTTGAGTTCATCAGAATGGTCTATGCAGCGTACATTCTCTAATCTAGAGGCTTCTCAGCAGCATGGGAAGTGTTGGAATTTGCAGAGCTTTTCTTCTGCTTAAAAGTTTAAACTTAATTGCAGAAGGGGTAAGCAGCTCTGATGACTATGCATATAATTATGCATATATTTATTATTTTTTAATCTACATACGATACTTTGTTTTTCCTTAACTGTTGAAATTTTAAAATAAAAAAAAACATGCAGCATGCCCTCATTTTTTCACTGTGGGAAAGAACCGAGTTATGTCTATTATAAAGACTGTATTTTATACTTTCATATTATGAGGATACAAATCATTTCCCGTTATAGAAATACAGTCTCTTTTTGATAGATTTATGGAAGGGATTGAAGCCATATATCTTCATGGTAGATAGGTATCCCAGTCAGGAATTATATTTTATTATGATGTATCTAATTCTAATTCAATTCTCAGACTAATACTTGTTAGTCAGGATGACCACATATGAAAGAGCACTCTTGGCTTCCAACTCAGTTCAATATAAAGATCCCTGTCAAGTCACTTCTTGCCTCAAGTGTTTGTCCCACAGGTAGTAGTTGAATTGCAGGGCCTCTTGAGCTGATTTCAGCCTTGTCAATCAGCACACCCAGAAGAGAAAGCACTTACCAGGCATTCTCCGGTGATGTCATCACAGGATTCTGCATGACCAAAGCATTGACATGGTTCACAGATGCCACCAAAAATAGTGCCATTAATTCGTCTGTGCTGAGGCCAACAAGACTGAAAGGAAGATAAGGTGTCAAGTCTCAGGGATTTCTTTTTTTAAGTTTGTTTTTTGTCTTCTTTAGATAAAGGAACATATGTAGGTAGCACGTGCAGCAAACATGCTCTTCAGAGTGCGGCCATTACTGAAACATTGCTACAGAGCTAGTCCTCCTGGCACTTGGGACTTGGTACTAACCTTAGCGTTACTGGCGGGTATGAGATTAGAGGAAGCATTAGCTTGGTGTCTCTTCTGAAACGGTAAAAGAAAGAAGAGATACAAAGAAGTGAAATGGGACAGTCTCAAAGTAAAACGCACGGACAGGAAAGGAGAAGGGAAAGCACAGAAAAAAGGCAGCAGACATAAAGGGCTTTCAGAGAACCTCAGTGTAAGAGAGCACCTAATGTCATCCCAAGCAATGTCGATTTTTCTGGAAAGTGTTCCCTTACCCACATAGAACTGCCCTGAACTCTGTCACTTGGCAATCATTTGGAAGAAAGGTAGTGCCCCCCTCTTACATTTGATCACATACATAGCTGACTTCTACACATAAAGAAGTCACCTCTTTCCTTCTCAATTCCCTGCATCTTTGTACGTTTTCTCCAATTGGCACAAAATAGTTCAGGATTTCTTTACCACGTATTTCCTTGATATTTTATTGCATTATTCTACTGGAACTCTACTTACATTCATCATTCCCTTTTTAAAGTGTGGAACACTGTAATATACAAAAATGGAGGGGCGCCTGGGTGGCTCAGTCGTTAAGTGTCTGCCTTCGACTCAGGTCATGATCCCAGGGTCCTGGGATCGAGCCCCACATCGGGCTCCCTGCTCAGCGGGGAGCCTGCTTCTCCCTCTCCCACTCCCCCTGCTTGTGTTCCCTCTCTCGCTATGTCTCTCTCTGTCAAATAAATAAATAAAATCTTTAAAAAAAAATGGAATTCTGATTCAAAGAAATGTTCGGTTCTTAGAACATTGTGTAAGTGCCAACTCTAGGTCCACCATCAGCCTTGATGAAGTTTCCCTTCCGTGGGGGTTACTACCAATTGTATGGGGGGGGGCAAACACTGCTGCCCTCTAGAAGCTTGTGTTCTCCCTCAAGTTAGAACTGCAATTTGTGGGTTATTTATTATATTTCTGGATGGTTAACTATAACATAATATATCATGAAAAGGCCTTTTTTTTTTCCAGTTGAAAATGGAAACAAGAGAAACCACTGAGGTAATAAAGTATAGAGAATTGTGTTGTATACTGTTGGAAACGTTTTTTCTGCCTCAGGGTGTGAAGACTCTTAAATTTGAACATCAATAACAAACACATAAAAAAAAGGTCTGCTGATACTTCACATCTGAAAGGAAAGCAAAAATGACTTTCCTCTTAATTTGGGCAGTACAAAAAAGGTGTCGATTTTCTATCCCTTTCTTATAATTTCTCCTCATTAAAATTTTTGCCACCCTAGATTCATTGTAGAAGAAGAAGAAATATCCTTCTGTGATATGTATTTCTAAAAACTGGTGAAGCGGCAGACCCAGAAAGGGTGGAAATTAAGCGTGTTGATAACAGGGAGAGAACTGATTTACTGTTTTCAGGACAAATATTCATAGAATTGTCATTTGTAAGCTTTTCTTTTTACTCTGCAAATGTACTACTCATACCACATCCTCATCGAGTCCAAAAGCATCAGCAATATCTCCATTTGCCATATTCCCCTCCAGAACAATGGGGTGGGTCATGTGGGTTCTCACTCCTCTCAAAGGAGTATCACTATACTCATAATTTGCATTCCATTATCTGTTGTCTTTCCAGTATTCTCTCTCTGGGTCGTATCAGTAATAGCTTTCTTTTCTACTGGATCACTACTATCAGCTCAAAAATTAACTAATGAGAGTGACAAAATTACTTCCTTAATATCCCATAATTTTCCAGTTACCTACCTGTTTTCTTCAGTATAACTACCAAAAAAGTCTTTCATTCACTTCCCTCTCATGCTTCATTCCGTTCTACTCTGTCTTGTGCTGCCACCACTCAATTAAAACTGACCGTTGGCTATGTCACCGCATTCCAGGTAGCCAAAGCTAGGAGACAATTCTATGACTGCACTTCATCTGACCTCCCATCAACATATGGCTTAGTTGACTCCTCTCTCCCTCAAATGCCCTCTTCTTTCAATTTCCACATCATCACAGTCTCATTTCTGCCCTAGCTCTTTGCTTTCTCCTCTGCTTTGACCCAACTTATTGTCCGGAGCTCCTGGGAACTTGATCACTTTTCTCTTTCTCATCATGCTCTCTCCTAGGTTTTTTTTTATTCAGTCCCATGGTTGATGATGCCTTCCAAATACACATCTCTAGACCAGACAGGTATTCCAAATTCAAGACCTGCATATTCTAACTGTATATTGACATCTATAATTTACACTTTTCAAACCCAGTATTTCTAAGATGGACTATTGATTCTGTCCTCTCCCCACAGCTATTCCTTCCTAGTTTTTCCCAGCTTAGTAAATGACATCATATCCAAATGTTGAAGCTGGTAATCTATGACTCATTCTTAAACTGCGTAGTTCTTTAAACTCTCCCCTGGTGTGTAATCTATCAATAAATCCTATTGGCTCTACTACCAAAATATATAGAGAGTAAACCCATATCTTTCTACATCCCTGCCATTAGCCTAAAACAAACCACAACAGCATATTCTACCATAATAGCATGCTCTACCACAGTAGCATATTAACTATTCTTCCTCTCATTCTTGCCTTCCTATATTATGTTCTTCAGACTATAGCCATAAAGTCTTTTTCAAATAATAAAACTCAGGTCATGGTACTACCCACCTTAAAATATTCTCATGAATTTCCATTGCACTTAGAATAAAATCCCAAATTATTATAATGCAGGTGAAGCTCTGAATGGTCTGGCTCTTCCAATCACATCTTGTGCTACTCTCTCCCTTGCGTACTTAGCTCTAGGCTTCCTTGCCCTCTTTCAGGTCCTTGCGGACTCCAAAAATCTCCTTTCCACTCCTTCCTCATCCACTTCCAGCTTCTTCTTCTTTTTTTTTTTTTAAAGGTTTTATTTATTTATTTGACGGAGAGAGACACAGCGAGAGAGAGAGCACAAGCAGGGGGAGTGGGTGAGGGAGAAGCAGGCTTCCCACGGAGCAGGGAGCCCGATGCGGGGCTCGATCCCAGGACCCTGGAATCATGACCTGAGCCGAAGGCAGACGCTTAATGACTGAGCCACCCAGGTGCCCAACTTCCAGCTTCTTCTATGAGGTGATGCTTCTCATTCTTCAACACTCAGATTACATGTTACCACTTCAGAGAGCCTCTCCTGACAACCTTTTATAAAGTATCCCTCTCATCTACTCTTCCAACACCCATCCTTAGTAGCTCTATCAAGATATCTTATTAATTTTCTTCATGGCATTTATTACATTTACTTAAATTTGCTCTTTGGCATATTATCTAGCCTACCACTAAATGTAATGTCCTTGAGGGAGGGACCACCTTATCATCCATGTCAAGGGTCTTGATTGTGTCAAAATACATGATTATCAATATCTATTAGCTCAAAAAAAGTATGAACACTTCCATGAGGTGGTTAATATTATTCCCATCATATAGAAAAGAAAACAAAGATTTGAATTGGGATACTTCTTTTTTCAGTATCCCACTTTGCTTTCACTTCTTCACCTGTCCCACTGTGTAGTGAAATGAATTATGCTGGTACTAGGAAAGTCAGAAAATATTTGAAAGATAAACTGTGGAGGGATTTATACGAAGTTGGGGAGAAATGAGAAAACAAGATTTCGAATCAACATTGTGACCCCAAATAAAGTAAAAGAGAATGATATTATAATGAGTGCTTTGACCTGTTTTTTGACAACCAAGAATTACGACATTCTGGTCTTTATAGTTTACTCAGCTTTTAAGTGGTCTGTGGATACTGGTGATATAGCAAAGCTAGCATGATTGGCCTTATGAACTCAATAAAAAGCACGGGAAATCAGGAGAGAATAGGAATGAATCATAGTAAGTCTAAGAATTGGAAGTCTTGATGAGGAAAAGAAGGAATTGTTAGTTGAAAAAATGAAAAAGAGAGAAATTCTGGAGTTCCGGGATTCATTGTCTCCTGATTCACTAAAATCCTTTATGGGCTTCAGAACACCTTTATTTATCAAACAATTATTGTGTGAGAATCACAGGAAGCTTTTATTTTCCCTCCTCTGTTTCTCTGTTTTGACTCTTCTATGCTTCTCTCTTCCTATCTAATTGTTACCATTATTTAGCATCCATTTTGAGGTTTTTCCACTCTGGGATACTTTCAGTGACACTGTGTTCTACTGGAACTGCTCACCTCTTTGAATGATTATTGCACTTATGTTCTGTACCATTTACCAGTCCCTTAATTATATGGTGCTGTGATCCAACTTTTCATAGGTATTTGTTCTGTCTCCCTAAATAGATTGTTAGCTGTTTAAGGACAGGGATTATGATGTAACCTTCTAGGTAATCCCCTCAGCATGTAGTACAGAATTTACCAAAGATTCACAATAAATATTTTTGAAGAGAGGAAAGAATAAACAAAAAATATAGCCAACTGAACAATTCTAATATTCAGTTTTATATCAGTGGACGTTTGGGACTCATAAAGATGAAGGAGAGTACAGGGAATAATGAATGTGGGGATAGGTATTAAAGCAAGAATAGAATCAAGGTATTTATTATTCCAATTGAAATAGGAACTTAAAGGTTCAAAGGGAGCTTTCTGGCTTGAATAAAAACTGGTAGGCTCTTTTTTTTTTTTTTTTAAAGATTTTATTTGTTTATTCATCAGAGACAGAGACAGAGAGAGAGAGAGAGGCAGAGGGAGAAGCAGGCTCCCAAGGAGCAGGAAGCCCGATGCGGGACTCGATCCCAGGACCCTGAGATCATGACCTGAGCCGAAGGCAGACGCTTAACCATCTGAGCCACCCAGGCGCCCCAAAAACTGGTAGGCTCTTAATAAAAGAATATGTTTCATCAAATACAGCATGTATTTTAAATGTAAAATCAAATTTAGGTTGACAGAACAAATTTATTTCCACAATTACTTTTCTCTTTAGATGAATTTTGGAAAAGCAAGTATCTCAATGAATTTCATTTAGTTTTATTTCTAGATAGATGAATCTGAGCCTAGTTAAAGAAAACACATTTGTCATGAATATGACTCTAAATCTTGTGTATCCTCCAAAAGCATGCATTATTTTAGAGTACAAAAGAACTGACAAAGCAATGCCTAGAGTGTTTCTACAAATGGCATAATGGGATAGTGTGTTGAAGTGGAACATTTTGGTGTACTCAAATGATTCCTTAAAGGCACCATTTTTAAAGAATTTAAGCTCCTATTTATCCGCAAGCTATGTCCTCTATCAGGAAAATGGTGTTTACATTTTTTGACCAGGTTTCAAGTAAAACCAATTTCAAACTACCTAAAAAAAGACATACATATAAGTACATGAAAATTATTACCTTAAAATGACACACTGTGGTATTAAATAAGAAATGTTAATCTTATTACAAAACTAGAATATTGGGGTAACAATAAATATCTCAAATTTTAGGTGTTAAGCAAATCAAAGACATGTAGGAAATTTTCCAGATCAAGGTATTTCTTCCATATATTATATTCTTGACATTTTAAAGATTGTATCCTTCAGATGCTTGCAGTTTGGTATTCTTAGAAATAAAGTAGAGAGAGTGTGATACCCAAGATTAAAAACCAGAGGAAAGGGGGAAAAAAAGTGCTAATTCCTGGTAAGTACAGAGACAGAAATGAAGGGAAATTATTTTGAAATATTAAATATTATTCTGCTATCATTCATCTTATTTTATCAACCAATTAAATAGGAAATACACACTTAGGAAAATATCAGATTTTCAGCTGTCGTAAAGTAAAAATATCCAGAACAGAAACATAATTTCAAGATGACATAATGTGAGTAGTACTCTATTTGAAAGCCACGATTTCTGGCAGACACTCAAGTTTCTTCCTCAAGGAAAACACTATCATTTATTTGTGCAATCATTGATGGAAGAGCTAAACTACTTTTAAAACAGCGTATTAAAAGCGATGTGGAAGGAACTTGGAATGCGCTGAGGATTTATTCTTGCAAACTTACTTCACAAGAAGCGCCAGTGTACCCAGGAGGACATTGACAAACCTCCACAGCTGCTGCAAGGCTTCTGTCAGTAGGATAGGGGACCGCGGATTCAAGGCCAACAGAGCCTAACCTACAGTGGGAAGGAAAAGAGATGGCAAATAGCTTGAGAAATAGTGTAGTGATAAGAATGTAAATATAAGTAAACGGCCAGCAGATATCCATAACTTGAAGCTCTGGTCATTCATTAAGTCTGTCCAGTGAAAAGTGCTCATCACCACTACAACATCAAGTGTTGAAAAGAGGAGAATATTCTTGTTCACTTCTTGGGCTTTGGCTATGTGTTTGATTTCCTTTCCTGGGGAGAGAGTTTAAAATAACATGGTTGAAGGTATTTTTAAAACAGAAAACATTCACATGACTTATTTGACTCACTTTAACATTTAAACTACGAAATCAAAAGAAGACATTATTAACACCAGCTTGAGGATTTAAATTGGAAGGAAAGATGGAAGCCAAAAAAAAAAAAAAAAAGGAAGCTATTTTGATTTCTTTTTTCTCAGAAACAAATCTGCACATTGGTAGGTAAAAGTGAAACTTTCAAATGCTCAGTTGAATTACTTAGAACTATTTTCTTAATTTGTTTTTGGCCTAAATTAAAGGCATTGGTCTCTGTATCTGTGGGTTTCATTTTATCAGCACTTCTGTATAATCCAGTGATTTTAGCAGAGTGATTTGGTGTCACTCATTAGTTTGGGGAAAAGCTGGTTTGGCCAAATTGAAAAATACTGTTATATTTGCTTTTTATTTATATATGTGGTATTTATGTACATTACATGTAGATGTATTTCCTTCCAAAAATATGAAAACTTAAAACAATTTAAATAAATGTTATTTCTGTCTTCTTGGCTTTTCCCATTTTTTTTCATAAAAGAAATTTTAAAAGCTTCATTGTTAACAACACAGACTTGGGAGTCAGACAGACTAAGATTCGTATCCTGTCTCTGACATTTACCAGTCCTGTAGCCTAGAAAAAATTACTAATTTCTCTAGGTCTCAGTATTCTCCTCTATGTAGTGAAGATTATATAAGAGTTCATACATCATAAGCTTGATTAAAGAATTAAATGAAATAATGAATATAAAGTTCATATATACAACACATAATAGGTGATTATTAAATAGTAGGCATTTTATTAACCTTATTCTCATTGACTGTGAGACAAGATAGAAAATGTCTACATGAGTACCTACAAGAAATACTACTTGAATCTCCAAATCTAGCTTCTTGCCATTTTAATATATTAAAACAAATTTAAAATAAACTTTAAGGGCACAAAATTAATTGATTGCTATTGACTAGTGATAAGTATTGTTTCTTAAAATGATTGTTAACCTCCCCTAACACAACATTATATGCCATCCTTTAACCATAAGAAAGATATAACCAACTCTTGCATTTTCAGTTGCTTTCCAAAAGAGTGGTAGTAGATTTTTATTAATCGGTGATTCACATTTATCAAGGAGTTTCCGAGATTTGGGAATCTATGCTGTAATCAGTCCAGACAACAAAGTTAATGGGCTCATTTAATGTATCTTCAAAAGTAACAACCTTTAACCAAATTGTAAGCTTTTCAGCTAATAAGTTTCTAAAATACTACTGTTTTGGGGCAGCTGGCTGGCTCAGTCAATAGAGCATGAGACTCTTAATCTCAGGGTTGTGAGTTGAAGCCCCACGTTGGGCATGGAGCCTACTTAAAATAATAAAAAAAATACATTAAAATCTTTATTGTTTTTACTCTTACTTTACTAATCCTAGACACTTGATAGTACCTTGGAATGTATATGACCTCAGACATAACCAAAAAGTTGAAAAGAAAAACCAAGGCAATTGGAAGGGATCATCCTCGGTGCTGAGTACTAACTGACATCTTCTAAAGATAAGGGATTTATCTTTAGCCACAGATTAATTCATTGAACACTACTTCTTGACTGCTTTCTTCTCTGGGGGTACAGTCTGGACAACTTAATAGAAGGTCCTAAAATGGTAAGTGTTAAAAATCACTCTTTTACAGTGTTCAGGTTACAGAGAGATTTTTAGGAAAATCTCTTAAGTGGTCATTTTTTCCCCCATCAAATAAAATTGTACAAGAAGTATCACTGGCAATTCCTTTTTTTTCCATTGGGGTGAAATTCATATAACATAAAATTAACCATTTTAATGTGTTCATTTAGTACGTTCACAATGTTGTGCAACTACAACCTTTATTTGGTTCCAAGCATTTTCATCAGCCCATAGGAACACCCTATACCTATTAAGCAGTCACCTCCTATTCTGGCCTTTCTCCCAGCCCCTGGTGAGTCATGAGTCTGCTTTCTGTCTCCATGGATTTATCATGGATAATTCTGGATATTTCATATAAATGATTGAATTATACAATACATGACCTTTTGTGTCTGGCTTCTCTCTTTTGGTACAATGTTTTCAAAGTTCATCCATGTTGTAGCATGTATCAGTACATCATTCCTTCTTATGGCTGAGTAATATTCTATTGTATGACTACACCACAGCATAGGGTTTGAGTTACTAAGGAGAGTACTTGCTTGTGTTGACGTGAGCTTGCGTTGACGTCACAAAACCCTGTTGTATCATCTGTGTACCTCGCCAGATCATCTCAATACATGCTCAATAAATTTTTGTTGGATGGATGAATGGATAGATGAATGAATGGATACAAGACTACATACACAAACATACATGCACGAATAGATGAATGGATAGGTAAACGAATAGGTGAATGGAATGTAGTTATATTATAAACACCGACTAACATACTCCCAAACAAATGATACACTGAAGCCTAGTATCCATATTCCAGATAAATAAAGTCAGATAAGTAAAATACAAATTACTTGTTTGATCTGGCAAAAAAATAAATAAATAAACTGAAAAATGTTAGAGTTAGAACTTGAGGTCAGAGGTCAGAACTCATCTGAATGAATTGTGACATCTTATTGCCTGCAGTTAATGGGCTGTCACAAGATTCACTTAGATTTCTGATCACTTTAATTTCAGAATTAGATGATTTCAGGGTTGTTATACTAGTTTATTATCACATAAAAGACTGTCACAATTTACTAAACAGTAGACTGGTCAATTTTGTATATAGTCCCAGGATTTTCAATATAAAATTGAGTATTGGAATATTTCAAAATAGAAAAGTGAGTAATTGACTACTTTAAGGAACAATTTAAAATATAACAAAACAAAAACATTTTCAATGAATTGCCAAATTTCATTTGTCTTTTGAACAACAGATGTTCCTCTCCTTAATCTGTGTAACCATTTTGAGTTAATTTCAATATTCAAACATCTTTCCCAGTCATATCCCACATTAGCATTCACTGAGCAGACCCAATGTTCATCAGGTTCTGCTGTTGGTAAATGGGATTTTAATATGTTTAACAGTTTTAAGTGTTACTCATAAAGAAGGCTGCAGTTTCCGCCCCCCCCTTCAATATAGACATGTTCTTTACTTGATACCAGGCTGCATTCATTTAAATACATAATGCTGATAGTAATAAGGTACTAAATTTTAGAAGTACATGAACTATCAAAGATTTGTCAACTAAGTCACATGCTTTAGCTGGCTATTTCCCCTTATTCATATGACTTGGGAATATGGATAAGATGATGAAGAGAAAAGACATAACTATATAAGCTTGTACTGAAAATATTAGAATCATACCAGAAGTATTGTCCTGGTACTGACTTAAAGATTGTTCTCAATATTTTTGTTTTACTATATTTCTACCAGACTTATGTAGGTTAAGCTTTGCTAAGATAATAATAACAATAATATATAAAATATTCTTTGAAACAATAAAAACTTTGATCATAAAACTCTTGTAAATAATTTTTTTTGCTATCTTTTTTTCTGTTGAAGGCACCATTTAATTCTACTTAAACAAATGTTACTTTGGGTTAGCCACCAGAGATGAAGATTTTATTTTGCTGTTTCAGGTGCTTTGTTCTCTTTCATTTTTGTCAAAACAAGATGATGACTCAGAACTTCCCGTAGTCTCTACCTTGTGGAAGTTCCATCAAGTACCACTCAGGGGGAACGGATAAATGTTACTCCACTCCTAAAAAGGCAAAGAATCATTTAGTGGCCCAGGTAATGTCTGAGTGGGCCATCTGAACAAGAACTAGACATTTCCTACAATCATTTTTAATTCCCCATCTAGTAAGGGAAATAACTGACAGAATCGGATACCACTGAAGCCATTCACAAACATTATATTAAATGCTAATATGATAATTCATTTCTTTCCTCTTAGCTCTACCAGTATGTACTGTGTACATTTCTAATGCATGATTTCTTTTTTTTAAAGATTTTTTTTTATTTATTTATTTGAGACAGAGAGAATGAGAGACAGAGAGCATGAGAGGGAGGAGGGTCAGAGGGAGAAGCAGACTCCCTGCCGAGCAGGGAGCCCGATGCGGGACTCGATCCCGGGACTCGATCCCGGGACTCCAGGATCATGACCTGAGCTGAAGGCAGTGGCTTAACCAACTGAGCCACCCAGGCGCCCCTCTAATGCACGATTTCTTATACTACTATAAATGCACATGTCTGCCTTCCATCCTGGAGTATGCCTTTTTTTTAATTCAGTGATCATTTATCCATCATTGTATCCTTTTTGCTTAGCCTAGAACTACCACATCATAATAATTACTGCTTACGGAGTGTCTGCTATCATCTGTGTACTATAATGGGGCTTGACAGACATCTCATTTAACTATGAGCGAATGCAGTGTGGTAATCGTGTTATTGTCCACATTTACAAATGAAGAACCTGAGACTCAGAGAAGTGCTGTGTCCAGTATAATACAGTTAGCCAACAGTGCAGCACAGATTCAAACCTGAAACCAATGATCATCTTGTGACCCTACATTGCCTCCCAATGTATTGCTAAATAGCATAGCAGGTGTTTTTTGGTACATCATTTTCTCACCTAGTCTTCCGTCTTCAAAGTTAGCGATAGTTTCTGCCATTTTACAGAAGAGGAGACTGAGACTTAGAAAGATATATGTGTATATATATATAAAAGACACTCAGTAAATGGTGGCAGACTGAATGAATCCAATATTTACAGAATTGATTTGGTATGTAGTCAAAGACAATAGGGAGGAAAAACAGGTGGGTTTAAACCCCTTACCAAGAGCCCAATGCCTAGTGAGTTGTGTAAGATTTTTTTTTTTTAAGTTTTAAAGGCTTTATCAGTATAATTTCTTCAAAATACAGTTACCTGTTTCATTTATTTCAAAAAGTAGATGCATACCATACATCTCTCAACACTATTACTAAAATCATCAAGAAACTCCTTTATTTACAAGGGTTTTTCTAGATTATTCATTCCATAAATTCTGTGTAATATTTTTGGTGCAAACCCCCAATACACATTTACTCTAAAAAGCCATATGAACATACCTTGCCTTGAAATGATTCTGAATTCATTTTTAAGCAATAAAGACACAATGGGGTATATCACAATAAAGTCATGATGGGGGCTCAGTTATGCTGTGATAACAAACAACTCCAAATTCTTAGTGGTTTAATGAAAACAAAAAGTTTACTCATGTAAAATCCTCCACAGTTCTCGGTGACTGTTTAGGGCAGCTGACCTCTACATGCTATCAATACTTCAGGCTATTTTTATCTTCTTGAGGTGGATAAGCTCCAGAGAGGCTCATACTGGCAATTCAATGCTTTTCTTGTGTGTGTGTGGGTGGGCGTGGGGGGGTGGCAGGGCAAATCATTTCTTCTCACATATCATTGGCCAAACCAAGTCATATGACCACATTGACCCTCAGAGATTAGGGAAATGTAATATTACAAAAGGAGGAGTTTGGATCTGGGTATTTACCCAAGGGAAAAAAAAACCCACGAATTTAAAAAGATGTATGCACCCTATGTTTATTACAGCATTATTTACAACAGTCAATATATGCAAACAACCTAAGTGTCTAATAATAAATGAATGGATAAAGAAGATGTGGTATATATACCAATGGAATACTACTCAGCCATAACAAAGAATGAGATCTTGCCATTTGTTACAGTATGGAAAGCCCTAGAGGGTATTATGCTAAGTGAAATAAGTCAGACAGAGAAAGGTAACTACCATATAATTTCACTTATACATGGAATCTGCAACACAAAGCAAAGGGACAAATAAACAAACGACAACAACAAAGATGGAAACAGGCTCATAAATACAGAAAACAAATAGGGGTTGCCAGAGTGGAGGGAAGTAGGGGATAGGCAAAATAAGTGAAGGGAATTAAGAGGTACAAACTTCCAGTTATAAAATAAGTAAGTCATGGGGATGAAAAGTACAGCATCAGGAATATAGTTAATATTATTGCAATAACTTTGCATGGTGAGAGATGGTAACTACACTTACCAAGGTGAGCATTTTGTAATGTATATAATTGTCGAATCACTATGTCATACACCTGAAACTAATGATAATATATGTCAACTATACTTCAATTAAGATTTTAAAAATAAATTAGTAAATAATAAAATAAAAAAGGAGGGGATTAGAAATTTGATGAATTGAACTAATGTCTGCCATAAGGTAAAAGGAAAAAAATTGTAGAGTTTATACCTAATTGATATTTAAGAAAAGCTGAACAGACTCCTTGTTTGAGTTAAATATAAAGGGTGCTAGTAAAGCTAATGTTTAGAGAATTTAGAGGAGAAAGATGTATGATTTGGTTAAGTTCATTTCTATTTCTAATAGAAGGATGAAATTTTTCTGTTTTCATCTTCCCAATGAGGGCAATGAGAAAGAAATCAATTTTATTGTGTGAGCCTCTCAGCATTCTGGAAAAGAATGACAGCAAAAATTGTCACCATTTTGGAACTATCACTATGTGCTTTATCCTCTATGTCTCCAAAGTCTTAATGGTGCTTGGAGAAAATGGTATTGCTTGCAGTGACTAAGGTCAGACAGAAATGCTTCCTTTTGTGTGCCTATTTGCCATTAGCAAAATGCTTTTGCAGCTCTCTAATTCTATTCTCATGGTGACCTTTGAAGTTGGCAAGGCAATTGTCCTCCTCCGCATTTCACAGACGAGGTGATTGAAATTCAAAGAGGTCAAAGCTACACTTATGTTTGCAACTATTAAATAGCTGAATTGAAAACAGAAGTCAAAATCCTGACCCACAGGCTAGTTCTCCTTCAACCATGCATCTGCATCTAACCACACAGCTGGAGGAAGCGAAGTCCACATGCTGAGACCTACCATGGAAGTAAATCTTCCTTAAATACAACTAAAACACCAAGTTTTGTGGAGATAGCTTCAATTTACTTGTGCTTACACACAAACTGGATGCCAGGTCGGAAGCCTACTGTGCAAAACAAGTTGAAATCAATTCAAGTGATGTTTTACAAATATGATTCAATCCACTTGTAGATCAGAGATAAATAAAATATAACAAGTTCACAGAGTCAGGATTTATGCTGACTTTCTGCTTACCTGAAATGGGTAAGGGTTTCAAATTGGACACTGGCTTTTCCTTCTAGAACGACAGTACTTTAGGTAACTTAGGCTGCAGAAAGCAGCCACCTACTTGGATTATCTCCAGTGTCGTTCCCATACCCTTGCTTTGTGAACACGTCACTCATATAGGGGAACACTTGGAAGGCTTCAAATGAAAACGATGATTTTGATAGGTAGACACTGAAATTATCTGACATAAATCAGGAGGAAATGCCCTTGGATGAACTAGTCTGAGAAGCAAGGCTGACAAAAATAAATAAGCCCCCTAGCCACTTTTTGTCAATTTGGTTGTCATTCACATTGAAAGCCAGAGGACTCATCTCTCAGTACTGTTTAAACATCATGACAATCTCTATTTACTAAATGGGAGAAAACATAATTAATTCCTAAGTGCTGCTTCAAATCTTCATGGCATTTTAACCCAGCTTCTAGCAGAATTGCCCATGCAAAAGAGGTACACTGTTTGACAATAGTTCTGTTTATGAATCTGAGTCCCCTCCTTTGGGAGATGGTAATGATGATTACACTTAGTTGAAATGGCACAAGTGAAAGACAAACTAGGCAGCAGCACAAGCAAATGATGGGGGTGGGGGAGCATCAGCATAAACAAAAAGAATCCTTCTGTAGATAAACCAGTATTGGAGACATTGCTTTGATCTGAATATGTCACGTTGTCAGTTTTGGGTCATGTTTCATCATCTAACTTAATCTCCTTTAGGGGGTACGTTGCCATGCTAGCTTGTGCTTATTATCAGAGCAGAAAAGCAGAAGGGGAAAAAAGCTCATTCAGACATAGTTGAAGTTTACATTTCACTGGACTAATACATCACTGTTTTTAAAATGAAAAGCACAGCAGTCTACAGTTAGTCGGATATGAGCGTGTTTGGTTCCAGTCAAAAGTTCTCTCTTTAAAGAAAAAAAATGGAAAACAACCAATTCCAGTTAATGAGCACTTTCCATAATTATCACGTATAATTTTCACAATGACCCCTGAAAGGTACACACTATAATCTCCACTTTACACTTGAATAAACTGTTTCCACAAGGACAAATCACTTGCCAAAGGTCACACATAAAATAAGGAATTGAGCTCACAGAATTCCGAGTTAGGTTGGCTCCAAAGCTCATACTCTTTCCTTTACATCACACAGCTATCCTAGTCTTTTATAAAGAGACTTGGGATTATTTAGATGAAGGTGCTTATATTTCTTATTACAAACTATATAAATATTAAGTTAGATACACATTAATTAATTAAGGGAAGAAAATACAAACTACTTTCCGAATATGACTACCCTGGAGTTACGCCTCTTTAGTTCCCCACAATCTGAGTCAGCATAATGGAGATTTTATTTTCCAGTATAGAATTTCTCAGAATACAGATCATTTTTTATCACATGCTCTGGCCAAACTGTGAAGGAGTCTTCAATACTAGAAAAGGGCTAACACACATTCCTTCTGGGTATTTAAATTTTGAAGTTTTAATAGAAATGCTTTTTGGAAAACTAGGGCTCAATTCTTATCTACTATTTGAAGGAAACCTACAGATCTTCAAAGTCACTCTTCTACCGCATGCATGTTTGCTCCAAAGGAAGTGTGCAAACACCGGGAGATGCAGTTCTTGAGTTTACCTGAAGATGGCATCCATCCCAAGGCTGTACGTGATTTGTAAGAGGACTCTCTTCAAATTCGCAAGCACTGTCATCAACTCTCTTCTACTGACAGGGAAATTTGTGCCATGTATGGTAAACAATTCTTCTTTAAGTGACAGTACATGAATATGTTCTTCATACGGTTGCAGATACACCTCATCTTGGGCTGTGCTGATTCTCAGGTCATTTCCCTAAAGGGGAAAAGAAAGTACAAAAGGGTAAAACTGTGAAAAGAAGGTATAAAAGGGTAAAGAGAATGCATATTTGGATTTGCCACTTGGTGAATTATCCTCAGTAGATTTTTAATTCTAGGTTGGCTTTCCTTTCATTCAGTATATTTCTGGTATATATGGAAGTAAGAGAAGGCAAATTAACTGTTAGCCTTAACCAGATCATCCGGATCACTTAATACTGGAAATATGTATGCTGGGGGAAGAATTTTGTCATTGATTCACATGCATGAAAGGTTTAAGGCAAAGAACAACAGAGCGCAGTGCTAAATCAACATCAACCTAGTGAGCGCGGTGCTAAATCAACATCAACCTATTTGGAATCACAAATGTGCATGCAAGTGTGTGCTTTTGAGATTGTCTGAGTATTGGAGGAAGAGTAAGAGAAAAGTGGGGGAGGCTCTAAGATACCTTTAGGCCTCCAGCATTTTGGAATTGTCCATGGCCCCCCAAATCCTGAAAGCAGTTTCTCCTATATCTTTCTTATCTAAATTAAGAGTTCTGAAGTCAAGATTTAACTACACCTAAATAAACAAGTTTCCTTTTTCATTTGCATCTGCCAAGTAGACCATAAAATTTACTTGGAAGCAAGAGGAGATGGAAAAAATTAAGCTATGTAAATCAGCATTTGCCTAAACACTTCATCATACTTATATTCTTGGGAATATGGTCAATATGTTTTTATTTTAAAGTCCAAGTCTGGTCTAAAGGTCTCCATTATCACTGGAACCTAATGAATATGGTCAGTCTTTTAGATATCTCTCAGGGTGAAACATAAGACAGGCATAAAAAAATTTCCCAAGATATAATATTCCCTAAGTCATAGTAAATTAATGTCAAACCAATCAGGTAAGGAATAACTTAAGAGCATGAAACAGTTGAACATAAATGATCTGCTCCATACTCTACCTCTAAGATAACCATAATCTGGAGTACATGTTCTGTATCTTCTTCTTCTTCTTCGAAGTCATATGATATGGTAAATGTCAATTGTCCTCCAGCTGCTGTAAGCTACAACAGAGGAGATACGTAATCATTACAAGACAGGAGATGGGCTATTAAATCATATTTTACTTATCATTTTAAAATCATTTTATTTTTCTAGAGGGTAGGATTTGAAAGAAACAGAAATCACAAGAGTGCAGAGTGAGAATGATAGACATTTCTTTAGCAGTAACCTTTATACGAACTTACCCATCAACAGCAAGCCTGACATAAATATAAATTCATGTATTATTTTCCCCAGTATTGCAGGCTTGCTGAAATAGGTTAAATTCTGTGAAACCAAACACAGCCCCTCCTGTCATTTTCCTCATCTATAACTTGAGCTTTACAATTCCCAAGCAGAGAAGGATCTTTGTCAAAATTGGGAGATTTCGACCCATCCCTGAGGGTCACTCACTTTCTGTTAGTCTGAACACTCTCAACAAAGACATCACTCCATTTGACAGTGACTTTATATAGACTATAAGCTAAACGGGGAAATGTTGTGGGTCAGAGCAAAATAAAAGAATGGCAGCAAATTTTATATTATGATACAATTCAATCAAAATTCCCAAAGAAGATACGCTTTTTCCTGTGCAATCAAATATGCTTAGTTGAAATGAATGTTAGTGTTCCTTTTCATTAAGTAAACTTCTATATGCCAAGCCCCACATAATGGATGCTTGAGGTTTACATCTTCTGACATTGAGAGTAACCTTGTAGAAAGGAAAAAAAAATAGGAAAGCAAGATCATTTATAGGACAGGAATCAACATTGGAACTTGAGTGACAGACTCGATGCAAATACTGCAGTCCTTTTTTAAAAATTCCACTCTAGCATTGTAAATAAAGACATTCATAAAACAAAGCTGATGATTTGTATTCCACTGTTTCCTCCATGCTGACACACAGAGGCCCAGCTTTGCAGCCGCTGGCTCTCTGTGGCCTCTTACTGCAGACCCTGAACACAAAGCAATTCCCGGCGATGCACTGGATGGAGGAGGAGGAACCTGGATTCCTCTCAGAGTTGCTCCATAGGGAATGGCACATAACTTGCCATGGCTGATTAAACAGGGTTTTCAAATCACAGCTCTGCAATGTCTTCCAAGAGCTCATTACATGGAGCTCTATGAGGAACTAGAATTCAGAAAACTTTTATTCCCCTGTTCCCCTGAGAAATAGCCCTACTCTAATGTCTTTTCATATATAAAATAATAAATATCTGCCTAGACTATAGCACTTGGCATTATTGTGAGTAATGAAGGGTGAATCTATGTAAAAGGTTTTTGGTTCTATTAAGATAAGCATCCTAAATATTACCTTGCATATTTGTTCAAAATCAGCCAGACCATTTTCTCAATGAGAAGAATCCAGAGAGGCAGCAGGAAAGAATGCCTTACATATTTTAAAGACTGAACTTTTTAGAATTTTCTACACTTATAAAAATATTTAGTAGGACCTACGGATGGAGATTGGGAAAAACACCAGGATATAGAACTATAATGTTGCAAAACTTTTAAGCTTCCAAATATATTTTGATTATCTAAAATGTGGACTACATGCTTTTATTTATTTATTTATTTTGGGGAATATGTTTCCCTAAAAAAAAAGGAAAGATCAATTTTAATTCATAGTCTCTTAATTTAAAAATTACACAAATGTGAGGAACTCAGAACGAAAGGTAATGCCTATTTTGCTCATAAGAGCCAAAGCGAGTATAATCCAAACTTTTTTTTTTTTTAAGATTTATTTGAGAGAGAAACAGAGAGAACACAAGAGCATGTGCGCATGTGCATGGGCGAGGGGCAGAGGGAGAGGAAGAGAGAGAATCTCAGGCAAACTCTGCCCTGAGTTTGGCACTGGACCGGGGACTTGATCCCATGACCCTAAGATCATGACCTGAGCCCAAATCAAGAGTCAGAAGCTCAACCAACTGAGACACCCAGGTGCCCCAGAATATCCAAGATTTTAAGACTTTAGATGAAATAGAAAAATGTTTGATTTGTTACAACATTTCATTTGTTTATGTTGTTTCCACACCTACTCATAATAATTATAAAGTCAAATAACATATAAAATAATATGAGAGAAGAATGAGGATGGAAATGGGAAAAAGAAACAAACAAATATAGAAAAAGAAAGGGCTCTTCTGCAGGTCAGTCACAACCATAAAACATGAACTAAGGAGTAGAATTAATTCAACCTATTCTTCTGAGGGCTTATGATAATAATAGCAATAAAAATGAAAACTTGACTTTTCACTCACATTTCATAATGCAAATTTTCCCCAACTCTTCCATGCATCTTCGATACCTATACTAAGGTATTGAATCAAATCAGTTTTTGAATTATCTAAAAATTTTCATGAGTGAATCCATTTTACTTCCACCTAAGTTATGTGGAAACAGACCATTTTAAAAAGGTATATGATGATGATGTTGGTTTTTTCTCCACGTCACAAATACCCATTTCCATAGTATTAGAATTACTGTCTTTTTCTTTCACTCTAAAGCTGTATATTTATGTCCATTTCTTTTTTTTTGAAGGTATTTATTTATTTATTTATTTATTTATTTATTTATAGAGAGAGAGAGAGAGAGAGCACGAGCAGGGGGGAGGATCAGAGGGAGAGGGAGAAGCAGACTCCCCACTGAGCAGAGAGCCCTGTGTGGGACTCAATCTCAGGACCCTGGGATCATGTCCTGAGCCGAAGGCAGATGCTTAACCAACTGAGCCACCCAGGTGTATGGCCATTTCTATATCACAGCTTAGTCAAGTACTTATTTAATTAATTTTCAAAAAGGATTGCTTAAGATGCCATCCCACAGTTTAGAAGTTGTCTTTCCCAACAAGTACATACCATTATATGGAAGTCTTTGTAATGAGTCAACTATAAGACAGCATCTTCTTTTCTGAGGGATATTGGGATTTTGGGGAAAAACCTGTGAGAACATTCAGAGTATAAACTGTCCTTTCCTATAGCTTTGGATGAAGAAGTCTCTGCCGCTTCTCCATCTATCCACCACTCCATATTCCAAATGTCACCTTCACTTGGCTCTTCTACGTCCTTGCTTTCCCACTCTCCTATAATCCCCCTTCATTATCCCAATCGTCAATCTCTCCATCAAATCCAGTGTGCACAGGGCTGCCAATCATCAACTGACTTTATTGTTTCCTCTAGCTATTATCTATGGTTATTTATTAGTTTCACTGTTAAACTCTGAGATATAGGATATTGCACTCATTTCCTTTATTCTTACCCAGCTAACCTTTTTTATTTTACCTACTGCTTCCTGTCTTTCACCCTTGGTACTCCATTAAAAGAGTTTCTTGAAAGGTCATTTATCAGTTCTACCTAGCAACCATTAATGGACCTTTGGTTCAGTTTTATTCTTACTCTCTATGTGGCATGTAATTATTCTTAAAATTCTCGACTCCTTTGTCTTCTATTGCACCAAACTTCCGTGATACTCCTTCCTCTGTCTTGGTCGTACCACTGTCTCATTTGTAGATACATTTTTCTTTCTTATTCTATATTCCGTGGATGGATGTCTCCAAGAATCTTACTCCCTTTTGGCTACCCTTTCTTATTGACTCTATTTCTCTCCAGTGGATTTAATTATGTTTATACCTGGTTCCTAAATCGGTATCTTCTATCCTGTGCTGTGTCCCTATATTAGTTTGCTCAAGATCTCATAACAAAATACCACAGACTGGGTAGCTTAAACAACAGAACTCTGAGATCCAGGTGTCAGCAGAACTGGTTTCTTCTGCAGTCTCTCCTCTTGGCTTGAGGATGGCCATCTTTACCCTGTGTCCTCACATGGTCTTCTCTTTGTGTTCATCTGTGTTCTAATTTCTTCTTTTTAAAAGGACACCAGTCGTATCAAATTGTACCCACTCTAATTACCTCATTTCAACTTAATTACCTGTCTAAAAATCCTTTCTCCAAATAGTTACATCCTAAGATTCTTAAGACTTCAACATATGAATTTGGGGGCAGGGATATAGTTCAGCCTGTAACAGTCCTGTACTGAGTGATTGTTTAATAACATCTCAAACACTCAACATATCCAGTTAATCTTATTATCTGGATCTTCCCAGGAAACAAACTTGATTATTTTCCCAACTTCCATGATTGGGTCAGGCCAATTGCTTTATTTCTCTTTTTCAATTAGAAACCACAGGTGTAACATAATAATTGTTTTTCACTGTGTTATTTATATCGAATTAGTCTCAGTCTTATTCTATTGAAATGCTTCTTGTCTAACTTTCTATTTTCACTACCAAATCACACTTACTAGGTCCTCACCAAGCATTTGAATTCAATTCTCTGACTTCAGTCATTTTGGGGGGAAAATTTTTATCAACTATTACTTCTGTTGTTGCCTCCCTAATGAAGGACCTCTAGTGGTCCTGGATCTATAATATCATTCAAGTTTCTACTCAGTCTCAACACTCTCTAGGATCTATTTAGCCCCCTATTCACAAACTGTGTGCAGAGGTGGCCCAGGGCATTGCAGTAAACTCACAAAGGCACTGTGGGATACTGTCAATGTTTAAAGGAAACACAAGCAATACTATGTATCTGTTGGATACCCCACAACCAACTAGCTTGAGGTACTTCAGTTGTAACATGAGAAAACTTTATATTCCTTTCAGGGATATTCTCAAAACATTGAGCTATGTTTTTGCACTTTCAGCCATGCCGGATCTTTGTTAAGGGAAGTCTTCAGTGGATGCTGTGATAAAAACCACATATTGCACAAAAATCAATGTGAAACAGGTAGCAGTGTCCAACCTGTTTCTAGGTTTGAGAAGTTGTGTATTACCCAGCAGGCATACAAATCCCCTTTAGTAAGTCATTGTGGTTATTTATGAAAAAAAAAAAGAAATTATTATATTGCCTGAACTTATGTGCATTATCTTTTTAAGTGGTTGCTCAGTTGTTAAAATGCAAGTATTTATTAAGTTGTTTGCCCCTCACTACTGTGGCATATTTCAATTGGCCTAGGAGACACTGTGAAA